GGCAACCAATAGGTGTTTCTCTCACACAGACAGATGTTTGTCTCACACATCGATGTTTCTCTCTCTCTACCCCCACCTACTATCTAAAAATAAATAAATAATATCTCTTTTTAAAAAGGAGATGAGTTGATGGCAGATGAAGGCACATACACGTGGGCCCTTGTTCTCAGTGGAGTCTGTAAAGGTTTGGAAAGCCCTTCCATTGTAGAATTCTAAAGTGGCTTTGCTGAGGCTTTGCACAGTGATGGCAGCTGCCACTCCCTTCTCTGCCAACAGAGACAAGATTTGTCCAGTTCTCTGTCAGCTGCGGGCTTCACAGAGTCCTGGACTCCGTGTGCACAGCCTGGATGAGTCCACCAATCAAGTACAGTCATGCTCAGTACCTGTCAGCTTCAGAACTCGTCAAACACTGTTCTCGCTGAATTTGACAAGAAAAAAGAAGTCTCAGCACTTGGCACTTGCTCGGGACTCACTGCACTTGCTAGAGCTTGTATGAGTCCTGATGGAGAACAGGTGTTAACCAATGGTGACTGTGGGCATTGTGGGGGAGGGGAGTCTTCTGTGTAGGGATGCAGGAAAGGGAGTTTGTGTGATTGGGGAACCTGAGAGACTGGAGCGAAATTCGGAGACCTGGATGAAGAGTATGAAAGAAACATATTAAACGTTTTTTTCAGATTAGTCAACATTTTGGTCAGCGTAAGGTTTTTTTCCTAAAACTGTCTTTGCCATTGATTAAGTCCTAGTTTCCCACCTTCTAATCATTTTCATTCCCACTCACAATGCCGAAGTTTTTACAGATCCCTTTCAAGTAACCTGAAGTTAATGAGACAAGGTCTTAATAATGAGCAGACATCACCTATTATATGTATAACCCTGGTGTTGGTTTATTTATTGTTAATTATGAATGAGGACAATTTGGGGGCCTCCAGACCACTGGATAATGGAAGAAATGTAGGTGTTTTTGCTTTTGTCATTTTTGTTTTGGAGGAAGATTCCTGATTCTATCAGAGCAACAAGGGACAAAGACACAATTATAGGCCCATGGGTCACCCGAACTTGAAGCTGGTCTGAGGCATCTCTCTGCCTTGCAAGGTTCTAGCAATAACCTGGGCATAGTTGTTACTAGTGTGCGAGTGGTTTTCTTTCTTCTTATTGGTAACATAGGCCTCATTTTTAAGATCTTCTTTACCAAGTGAAGTCTGAACTGGCTTGTCAACAAAAGGTAAGAACAGAAAAGAAATAAACCCAACACTCTAATTTAATCTTTAAGGACACCCCCATGAAACTCCACCTTCTAAATGAAGAAACTGAGGTCTAGAGATGTCAAGTGACCTGCACAATGAACAAAAAATGGAGCTGGGATCTCACCTCCAGCCTCTCTTCTTAAGGGAGTCCCTGAGGAGATCTGGGGACAGTTTTGTTCTTGTTTGTGTTTCTTTGGCTCTGTCATTGGTCTTGGTAATGCCCACAGACCAGGAAAGGCAGGTTTAAGACCAAGAGGAGATTGTTCAAGGAATGTGGTGAGGAGAAGGCTGTTTCCCCACAGCCCCCGGTGGTGGCGTTGCACTGTGTGCAGGAAGGGGGACTGCCTTGAGCAGCTGTGGGGTCAATGTAGGTGCCTCTTCTAATTCTTTCCAAGTGGGGAGTAGCCTTTTCCAACAGATTGCCAAAGATGAGTGCATACTTCTTAACCTCTCCAAAAATTTGGATGTAAAATCTCAAAGATTTTAACATTTTTATTTCTTTTCATTTTGGTAAAATATGCATAACGTAAAGGTTACCATCTTAACCATTATTAAGTCTACAGTTCAGTGGCATTAAGTTCCTTCACATTGTGCAATCATTACCCACAATCCACCTCTGGAAGCCTTCATCTTCCTGAATGTTGTACCCATTACACACTAACCCCCTCCCCTGCTTCCCGCAGCCCTTGGCACCCACCATTCTGCTTTCTGTCCCTATAAACGTGAATACTTTGGGGACCTCATATAGGTGGAATTGTACATGTCCTTTTACGACTGGCATATTAGCATTCCATGGAGAAGTGCATCATGGAGTAAAAGTTTCTCCATGCTGTTGCAGGAGCTGGTATTTTCTTCCTTGTTAAGGCTAAGCACTATTCCATTGTATGTAGGGACCACGTTGTTTGTCTATTCCTCCCTCGATGAACTCGAAAGTTGCTTTCACCTTTCAGCCACTGTAAGTAAGGCTGCTGTGAACATAGTGTACAGATACCTCTTCGAGATTCTGTTTCCAATTCTTTTAGGTAACTACCTAGAAGTGGAATTGCATCAGTGTATTTTTAATAGAAATGTGTTGCCTCATGTAGACTCTCCCGTACTGTGTTGGATCAGTTGTCTTCCCTGCCCCTGACTCACTTAACAAACACTTGCTGTCCTCTGACCTTTATCCCCCACACCCTGACACGCACACATGATTGGGACTAGTTGCTACTGCTAGCATTATTTAAAGGAAAAACTTTTAATGTTAAAAAAATACTAATCAGATCAGGCCTAGCTGGGTAGCTCAGTTGGTTAGAGTGTCATCCCAACACACCAAGGTTTCGGGCTCAATCCCTGGTCAGGGCACATGCAATAGCCAACCAATGCATGAATAAATAAGTGGGATAACAAATCAATGTCCCTCTCTCTCTCTCTCCACCCCTCCCTTCTTCTCTCTCTCAAAAAAATCAATAAAGAAAGAACAGGGTGAGTGTAGGGGACAGAAGGATTGAGCAAAAAGGAAAAAGAACTCATGGACATGGGCAACAGTGCAGTGATTGTGGAGGGGAGGTGGGTGTAAGGGGATTAAATAGTAATATGAAAAAATATGAATAAACCGAGGAAATTTAATTTTAGCCTTGCCTTGCTAAGTTTTGGGGTTTTTTTTCAGATTAGTATTCAGTTTTATGAGATGGATTTTTTAATCCATTGAAGTATTATTTTTTCTCTTTTAACGTTAATAAAGTAAAATATAAAAATAAAGAAAAAAGTGCTAGCTCTTTGAGCTTTAATAATAATCATCAAATCAGGGCAGGGCACCTGATTTAAAATGACCCACTGAGCCCTTCCCTAGGCATCTAGAATTTAAACCAAGAGGGTCCCACAGTCGGATTGCTCTGTGGGAAAGGGGGATGTAAACCCAGAATCGTTGTCACAGCCAATTCCCACCATTACTTGGGAGTCGGGGGAAGCTGATCTGTGGGGAGAGAGAATGGAGCAGCTGCACAGAGGGGCAGGCTTTGGAGCTGGAGTCCTGGCTTCCCTGCAGCCCTGTGTCCTGGGTGAGCGGGTGAGCGGGCCTGCAGGCCGACTCTCTTAGATGCCGTGGACTGGCCAGGATCCTTGTGGCAAAAGTCCCATCGTGCTCAAGCTGGTTCCTATACCCAAGGGCCCTAATCAGTGCACAGGTGCACTCGGCTCAAACAGGCATGCCCACCTTAAACCAACTTCTCACTTAATGACTTGTCTGTGTAATACTATCTCATATTTTCACTAGGACCAAAACAAACATGGAAACAAACAAAATTTTAAAACCCTTTGCTTAGCTTAATGAGCCACATTGTGTTTTTACTAACAAGGGTAATTTGCAAAAACTTTTCAAAATTGATTTTTAAATACAGTACTGCATATGTAACACATTCTCTTTATGGGAATGAAAAGATCATAGATGTTTTAAGGTAAAGTAATTGTTGTGGGTGGGGCAGCCCAGAGGTTTCTTTGAGCTCAGGGCTCTCAGAGCCCAGGTCTGAGTTTCTCACAGTCAGAAAGAGTGCTCTAGGCATCTGTATGTGCTTCACACCCAGCGTATGCCTGGCAGATGGAAAGCGCTCAGTGTTGATAATTAAATGAATGAATGAAGGAATGAAATCAGAGGACTGGACTACATGATCCACAGGCCCCTCTCCAGCTCTTATGTTCTGTGTATTCTATGATTCTGTAACCTGTGCATTTGCTGACATTTATCGGCAGACTGCTAGACAGTTTCTGCCCATGTAGTAGAATCCCTTTATAACACTGGTTTCCATAAAAATACCAATGTCTCTATTAGAAATTACTCTTAATGTCTGCCACTGTTACAGTTCAAGAAATGTAAGTGGAATTGTAGTAGAGCAGTCCAGGGTCTCAAGCCCAAGGTCTGACGAACTACGGCATTCTTACAAACCAGCTCGTTCTGGTTCCATGGGCAAAAAGCCCGGGGAATACTGACCAGTGCTCTCTACGTGCTGTTCACACTGGCATTCCTTATACACATTTTATTTTCCATTATTCCATAATCCAACTTCCTTAGACCCTGTCAGCGATAATCTTGTCCTCCCCAGTTTCTAGTTGGAACTGAGCTTATGCTGGGGGTCCTTACAGGAGAAACCAACAAAGTCAGGGAAAGTAGGCTTAGAAATACTTGTGCTTGGCAGAATGACAAGAAAGAAACTCTATTTCTCTCTTAATAAACTAGAATTAAAAAAAAAAAAAAGACTGTCTCTTTGCTGCCCTCAGCTGGTATCGAAAGACAATACTCTGTTACAATAAATTCCTCCAGCTCTTGCTCATTCAAGATCCAAACAAAAAGTATCAAAAATTTCCCTGCACCTTGAAAGAGGTCGGGTTTCATTCATACGGACTGAAGGCTTTCAGCTGCCCTACCCACTAGGAAATAGCAGATGTTACTCTTGTCTTCATTCTTTAGGAAGACTTGGACAATTCAGTCTATTTTTACAGTAAGGGTTGTAGCGTGGAGAAGTCATGAAAAAATCCTGTGTCAGGGTCTGAGTATCCGCCCTCATTTTTACTCCATGATGCACTTCCTACGCCCTTCAGTAAATGTGCCTGTGTTATACCTGGTTCTGTATTTGAAAGAAGTCTCTCGTGACATGAAATAAGTAGGTTGTATATTTCCCGGAAGAGGGATACAAAACTCAACACACCCTGAGTTTCAAAACCTTCATTTCTGTGTGGGTAAAGAGCTAATTGAATGAAAGAAACAGATCCAACACACTGAAATTATGCAGCAATCACATTTATTTGGTTGTAAGCCTAACTTTATTTTCCTTAAAATGGTAATATTTCACTTTTATTGATTTTATATTCATCAAAGCAACATCGTTGCACTGCAAAATTACCTATATGCAATTAAGTATCTGATACATGCATTTTGATTTTGTTAACAAGTGATAGAAAAGATTATGTCATCATCTCATTAAGAAAATATTTCCTTAGACACCTTGTTTAATTTTGATTTCCTTTAAAAGAGTTATAGCAAAGGGCTGTCTCAGAGGTTGATTCTTTCTCCTTTCACAAGCCGTGCTTGAAATCTCCAAATATCCTGGAAATAATGCCAAACAAAATGAGTTTATGGACTCTTCAATTTGTCTCTTCACTATAACAGAAAGTAAATTTCTAGCATCTACAAATAGTTAAAGAAAGGGAAAAAGCCTCCACAGTAAAGTTGTATCATTTAGAAAATAAACCATGTTCTGAGAATCCAATGAATTCACCGGCCAGCACCTAATATCATATTAACCCATCTATCTAAGACAGGGAGCCCCAGACTGTCAGCCCTGCTGTGTCGGGTACTCTTGCTGACTGCAGGCGCCCTAATGGGCCGAGTGGCGTGGTCACAGCATGTTATACCCAGCTAGGAAAATTACAACTAGGGCATTACCCAACCCAAATCTGCAGTTCCTGGAACAGGGTAATGAACAAACATCAGGGAACAATTGGGTTTAAAATTCTAGCCAAATAAGGTAACTAACCCAGCCCGCCAGAAAGTGCCCGCCAGCAGCAGCACCCACCAATCAGGGACCCTCGCCGTTTTTAAATAAGCCAATAGCTAACCGCCACCTCTGCTTCTGTATGTCTTTGCTTGCTTGCTAGAAAATATAAATACCCAGTAGTCTGTAAGCCAGGAGCGACTTCCATCTGGTAGCTCTGGGTAGCTACGTGGCTCCGATCACATCTGGGAAGTTCGCCCCTGCGCAGGTAAAGCTTGGCCAAAGAATTTTTTTGATCTGACCCCTTGACAAAAATTAAATTCGTTTAAACTAATTTTTGGCTCCGAGAGTGTGTATACACCCGCCGGTTGTCTACAACAAGCACAGTGCACCTCCACCTTCCTGTCTTCCTTTCAGTTATCTGCCTGACTCCTGAGTAATCTCCTGATTAGATCATAATCATGAAAATCATGCTACGGGTTAATGGTTGGTTTGTTCTTTCCTTTGTTCTTTTTTAATGTTTTTTTAAAACATTTTATGTACTTATCTTTAGAGGGGAAGGGAAGGAGAGAGGGAGAGAAATATCAATGCATAGTTGCCCCTCATGGGTCCCCTGATGGGAACTGGCCTGCAACCCAGGCATGTGCCCTGACTGGGAATCAAACTGCGATCCTTTGGTTCGCAGGCCCTCACTCAATCCACTGAACTACACCAGCCAGGGCCTTTTCTTTGTTCTTAATTAAACTATTCAGACTTTATAATTTAGTTCTTACTCGTTTTTTTTTTTTAAGCAACCAGCAAGATATGGTGGGAAAAACGATTTTGGAATTGGACCTGACTCTGAAGTCTAGCTCTGTCATGTAACAGGTGAACCTCTTGGATTCTATTTTCTCATTAAGAAGGTGGGGCCTCAGCCCTGGCCAAGTGGCTCAGTGGGTTGGAGCATCATCCTATACACCATCATCCTATACACCAGTCAGGGAGTGGATGGGAGGTAACCAATCCATGTTTCTCTCTCTCCCTTCTTCTCTCTCTCAAATCATTAAACATATCCTCAGGGGAAGACTGAAAAAAAAAGAAGCATGTAGCTATAATGACTACTTCATTGGATTCTGGTGAAGAAATAGGAAGGGGAATAGGAAAGTGCTTTTGTTTGTACCTTACAAAGAGCTATAGAGCGGAAGTTTGTATTGTTATTCTAAGTAAAGCTGATAAACTATAACCAAGAGAGTAATTAAAATAAACACAGGAAGTAATTCACTTAGTACAATATTGACAAACCTCAAACTTAATGTATAGCTGTTTTTTTTTCTGTCACAGTGTTGGATGGAAGCCCCAGTTGCTGACCTATGTTGCCTTTTAAGGCATTTAAGTACTGGACAAAAGGAGAGGACAGTAGTTCCTAGGATCTGCAAATGCGAAATCAGAGCATTTTCAGATATGGGGTCCATTCACGGCTTCTAAGGGGAGAAGGGGTAAGGAATGAAGTAAGATTCTGGAGCAGGGAAGGTGTTCAGAAAATGATTCCCAACCCTGGCAGCCTGTCCCTGGTGGACAGTGCTCTTTGAAGAACTGGACCACTGCGTGCAGTCCCTGGGGGGGCTCATGTCACCCCCACGGGGAATGCATGCGTTTATGATGATCCAATGTAAATTTTGAAAATAGGGCCAGCTCCTTGTTCAGGTGCTAAAACGTGCATAGTTTGCAAAGTAAATTATGTTTATGTGTTTGCCTTGACTGATAAATTTTTATTGACCCTCAACAGCATTGAATGTTCACTAATTAAAAACAAACAATTTACAAATGATGTGTATGAATTAGGAAAGCACATAAAATATTGTCTCACATCTCTTATTGATAGGCATTAGTGATCTTCAATTTCTGCTACATGCAAGATGTGCCTCTCATTAAACTCACGTGCAAAGTAACTCATAGTTGCCCAAGAATTGCTTTCTGGGAGTCTAATTGGATTCCCAAGACATAAATATTCTATTCTGTACAAATAAAGGAGTATAATCAATAGTCCAAACCTTCAAATTTCTTCATGTGCATTCAGAAGGCAGCCTTTCATCTTTCATTTTCTGTCCTCTAAAACTGTTTTCTATTTCCTTCCCCACCTGTCCTTTCTCGAACGAGGCAGGCTGCATATCCTGGGACAGCCCAAAGACATAAGGAAGCCAGCACGTTCTCAGCCCCCGCCCCCCCCACCAGGGAAGCAAGTAGAAACTGACATCCTTGGTCATGCCTAGTGGGTCTCAGCCACATTTCTGCAATGAGCTCTCAACCTAAGCACTTTATACTTTCCAATTAGATCATGTACGAGAAAAATTAAGCATGTGAAGGAAAAAAACCTCAGATCTTTACCTTGTCATTTCATACACGTACCTTCATAGAGAGATCTTCAAGGCCATTCTTTTTTTTTATATATTCCACTAATTCCTTCTCAATGTTTTCTTGACTAGTGCCCTTCACATCGACGTAGTGGCTGTCGGCACTGGCGTAATGGCAGGAAATTGCCTGGGCGAAGTGAACCAATTAATTAACACCAGCAACCAAGCAAGGTTTCATTTAGAAAGTTAGTTATTTCACTCAGCTTCTGATTTCTAGATTGAAAACTGTTCCAACGAGTCTTAAATCAGTCCCTTGTGACTCAGTAGCTTCTCCTCCCCTTCCCCCAACTCCCAGCTAAAAGCTACTTGAGAAATTACAAGAGATTTTTAACTAGCTGTGATATTTATTTTCAAAAAAGGTATCTATGAGGCAGAGTACATAATTACATAAGTAAGAAGTCTTTACTTTTTTTGAAGATTTTATTTATTTATCTTTAGAGAGGAAGGGAAGGAGAAAGCATGGGAGAGAAATATCAGTGTGTGGTTGCCTCTCGTGAGTCCCTAGCTGGGAACTGGCCTGCAACCCAGGTATGTGCCCTGACTGGGAATTGAACCGAGATCGTGTGGTTTGCAGGCCCGTGCTCAATCCACTGAGCTATGCCAGCCAGGGCAGGAAGTTTTTAATTTTTTTTAACATTTGATTTTTCTAAGGAATAGAGAGCCCCAAGGGCTAAAAAGAAATGTATTCCAGGGTTTTTCATCATCTCCTTAGTCACAGAAGTTACTCAATCAAGTTTGTTATTTCAATGGCCAGAGATTATGAAAAAAAAAAGAACATTTTGAAGGAAAATAATACACACATACACACCCCTCTTGAATCAAAAGGACATTTAAAGTCTGATAGCGTTCCCATAAAATACCCATTTTGTTTCCTTATGAAGGCAAGGCAGGAGTTACTTGGCTCTTCCCATTGTTGAAAAAGTTATAAATAAATCTGCTGCAAGGCAGTAGTTAAAACTACCTTCCCAGTCACAGGTTAGTTATTGAAGGTGAGCACACCAGTCAGAAAGACGTCTCACTTTGCCCAAACCATCACGTTTTCAGGCAGTGGGGCCACAGATTTCGTCTCCCACTTGAGCCCCAATGCCAGGCTGAGCTGCCTGGAGCCTGAGGCATAAGGGGAAACGTGAATCCTTCATATATGCACTTATGTTTTTTTAATGATTAATGTTTTTTCAAACATTTAAAGTGGTTCAAAAAATATTGAAAAATTGGAAAATCAGTATATTAAAATTCTCCTTATTTGTATTGTGGTGTCTATACTCTCCTTTGCACAATGCTGAGGGTTGTGCTAGTGAAGAGCTCGATCTTGGTTTTATTTAAAATGTTGCCATTGTGCTCATCACAAATTGTTTTGCAGTAATTTTGATTTTTTAAAATATTATTGTAAAGAATATTATTCAAGTGGATTTTTGAGTTTTTTTAGTCATTCCCCCAAACCTTAAATTTTGCCCCTGAAGAGAGCGCCTTCTCACCTCACCCGCATCCTGGCCCTGTTGAGCCTGGTGGAAATGTGAATGAGGGACAGATACTATCTGGTAACTCACCCTTGGCCCCAGGGAGACAGAAGGCGTTGCTGCACCAAATGAACAGCCTCATTCAGCCCCCCCCCCCCAAACCACCAATATTTAGTATTGACAGTCATGTTATCATGGGAAAAATTTAAGTCCACAATACCACCAGATGTGCTGAATTTTAGACAAACAAGAAATCTGGGAATTTATGAGAAACTTGTCAGTTTTTAATGTGAACAATAAAATCATATCATTTAAAATACTCTAAGACTGAGGAGTGAAAAACATGGCTGCCTGCTATATCTGATTTCTGGGCAGCCAATTCAGAACATTTCTTTCAGATCAATAATATTTTTCTTAATAGTGATAATATAAACTGGCCTCTTACATGGTTCCTATGAACTATAGGCATTCCAAATTTTAATATTTTAGTTTGTCACCCATGGTTTTTGCCTCTGAAGCACAGGCTGTCAGCTACCAAGGAAACTGTCACTCTGAAGGAAATCATGAATGATCAGGACTCAATATCAACAGGGTGATATCTGAAGGGAATCCTGAGGTCATCTGGCTTCTTTCTGATATGAGAAAAAAGACATGAGGTAGGCAAGTATATTTCCTAGTAAGTAAACTGGACTAGCGTCTGGTTTAAAGTGACAACTCTTTTAAATTTCAATATATCTTGACATTTTTGTGTTTAACCGTTTACCTTTGGAAAGTGTGGTGATGTTAATGCATACCTTGCGGAATCCTTGAGTTTTGTTCCGACCAGATCCATGGATGAGCAAAGGATGAAAGAAAACAGTGTCTCCCTTCTCCATCACAAGGTGCACACGGGCATTGTTTTTGTCATAGTCCTGGATCCCATGGAACATGATGTTAACTCCCCCCTGGAACACACAAGAGAAGTAAAGTCTGTACTTGAGAAAGCCAGTAACTACAAACTTTATGGCTCACCAGGAAAAGTAAAGAGGAGATAAATAAAGTCAATTCTTTAAAAAATGTAAGTATACAAAATCTTCTCAGACATCTGGTTTTAAAAAAAGTCATGTGTTAACATTAAAATCACAGGGTTTTTGTTTTTTTTTTACCAAGTAAAAACTGAATAATAAATGAAACTCTAGATCAGCTTTGCATTTTTCAGTTAACACAGAACCCCTTTCTAGCCCAAATCTATGATCATCCTTTCCCAGCATGGGAATTTTGCATAAATCACTCTTCTATTACTTAGGAGTATCCCTGAGAAGCTATTGTCCCACACTAGGGGAGAGAAAATGCTTAATTTTTCTGAGCTCAGAAACCATTCATGTCATGTCCAGAGTAAAGAAAGAAGAATAGTACATTAAAACATTGTTTATAGCTTTCCGAAGTTAGTTATTGTTTTAGGTAATGGTTATGTGTTTGTTGACAACTACAGTGAAAAGTGATTTAAAGTTTACAAGCTTTTATGAGGGGGTCGGGAAGGGGTAGTTCTAGAGTAGAGGCAGAGCAGCGTCCCATTCACCTTTCTAAGACTATTCAAACTCCTTTTGAAGTTGACTGCTTCCCTACTGGACTGTGTTAGGACTTTGACTCAGTGCACTCCTCTCCTGGCCATGGTGGACATGTAACCCAAGCTGAGACAATCTGACTTTCCATTGCAGCCATTCAGGTTCAAATCTGAGCAGAGGATGGAAGAGACCAGACATAGTCAGGGTTCAACTGCCCATGCCAGGTGTCCCACCCCAACTCTTCCCACGCAGCAAAAACATTCAGAGCTAGTCTGCCTTCCACAGATGCAACATGACCCTGCAGCTTTCCAAAACACTCCCTTTTGCTTGCACCAAACCTTTCCTAAACCTTACCTTAATTGAAAAATCTCATAATTTCAGATTTTATATCAGAATCCAGACTCAAATTTTTTACTTAGCACTAATCATCAGCGCATGAATTCTGAGATAGAAGTCCTTGAAGCCACATTCTCGTTACTTCCTACAGAACCACAGTCACTCTTGCTGCCTTAAAAATAGGTGCTTTTTCCATTCTGACCATCATCATGGGGTTTCGAGATGTCATTGCCTTATAGCTAAAACACTGGTTTCCCGGCCCCTGGATTCCTACACCTCCTACATGTACTGTGTGTGACACACCTCAAGATTATCGTTCTTGAAGAGCCAGTTTAATATCATCAGTCTGGAGCTCAAAAGTGTTTAACAGTCCTCCAGCACCAACAGTTGAATCAATAAACTGTGGAATGGCCATGCAATAGAATACTGCTCTGTCCTCCCCATAGCCTCTGCTGATCTCTTCAGCTGGGAGGCGATGGCCTCTCCCTCTTTTTTACTCTGAGAGCCATCAATCAGTGTGTAAGACCTATTTGGCACTTGTCATATGCATCTGGTTTTGCAGTGTTTATGTCTTACCTTTGCATTAGGCTCTATAATCTTGGGACTTAAAGCACCTACCTAAGTTCCCCATGTTGACTGGCTTTCAAACCCTTGTTGAAGAAGCAAGAATGAATATTTTATCTGACATCCTTGAATTTTCCCTGATCCTAACTCTAAATCCTAGACCAATGTTTTGCTATGAAAGGGAATGCTATATTGCTGGTAAAGCTCTTTATGTCTACTGCTGGGAAATGAAAATAATAAAAGATTCTGATCAAGACACAGCTGCTACACAGACCTACCTCCCATTGGGGATAATTATGTGGCCTCAGGGTGCCTTTGTGTGTGCCCGGGAGCACCACCAAGCAGCCGTTGTTCCGGTCAATGTGCTCCATGGCCGTCCAAGCACAAACAATCTTATTGCTGGGCCGGAAGGGGAAATAGTGCAGATCCTGGTGCAGAGGGTGGCGGGATGTCTTCTTGCCTGAAATAGAACCTGCTGTTAAAAGATGCTCAAGCCTCAGAATTCTTCTCCTTTTCCTGAAAAAAAAAAAAAAAAAAAAAAAAACCAACCAGGAAAATAACCTATCCCTGCAAAAACCAAACAAGTGAAATGATATTCTAGAAAATCGACCTCAAGAGATAAGCACCAAATTAGAATATCAAATCCACACAGGGATTCTAGATTCTATACTTCTTTCTGGGTTCCTGGTAGCCAAGTACTCACATCCACTATTTTCTAGCCAGTCGTACATATATCATCATCTCTATTGTGCTTTATTCCTTTCTAACTCTGGCTTAGGCATAGAGCCTAGTATTAATAAAAATAAAATAAAAATAAAAGTTTCATAAATTACACTGAAGAGAGTGGTCAACTTTGAGGTCCCTTGATAGTCTGCGAAGTGACTAGTGTAAAAAATTTAACTGATTAAATAACTAAATGAATAAAAAGGCCTCTGAGAGGTGTCCCCACCAAACTAAATAGAGCCATTCGGTGTATAATCACTGCATAGAATCAGAGATACCATGATTCATATATTTCTCCAGTTTTGCTCCTTGACTTTGATTCCCCAGGCCACCTGATCTCTCCAGGCAAGACATCCAGAGAGAGAGACTTGGTGATGTTGAGCTACGGGCCTGTCGCATAAACCTCTCCCAGCCATTGGGAGGGAGGAAAAGTAGAAAAGGTTAAAGAATTGCTAATGGCCAACTTACTACTGCTGGTATAGCAGAATTTCTCAGCACGGCCTTCTGCATGAGAGTCTCTGAGGATGGTTAGTTAATAAACTGGATATTCCTGGGTTCTATCTTTCAAATCAGTTTCTCGGGAAGTGAGGTTTGAGGAGCTACATATCAGCAAGCACAAGAAATTTTACAAACAACTGTAGTATATGATTTATAAAAATAGTTTTTTGTTTGTAATAACCATGTCTTCAGATTGGGAAGGCAGAGTCTCCACTGTGGTAGGTGAGAATGGTCAACAAAGCACAGAGGTGTTGAATAACAGGAGTTTATGTTATATAAACTGTTGTTTGTTACCCTGCATTTTTAAGAATCCAGTCATCTGAAAATCCAGCAATAACCCTAGAGTTAATAATCTGAAATCACTATTATACTCCAATGTTGTTATGATGTAAGCTATTTTGAGGTAAAGCGCTGGAAAAAAACAAAATTCAAATGAGTAAAATTAAAGATCTAATTGGCTTTATTATATGATTTATGAATCAGGCAGCATCCAATCTAACAGATAGATAGAAAGGAGTTTTGAGGAGCTATATAACTATACAAAATGAAAGGCTTTGGTAGGCAGAAGGCAGAGAGACAAGGAAGCTACTAGCAAAGAGTGGACTGTTTCAGTCAGGTCACCTTCCTACAGGGGTGAGCAGGGGTCTATCAGACAGATGACCTCACTAGTCCTGACTGGCAAATTCCGGACTGACTGGTTAAGATTTTGTTCTGCGGGAAGTGAAAACTGCAGCTAGGTGAGGCATTCAGGCTAGTTTGCTGATGTGGGCTTAGCACAAGTGACTCCACTTTGGGCCTATTGCCCCTTTTTTAATGATTTACATATTCCTTTATGAGAAGTTTAGCACTTATACACATGGCTGTAGTTAGGACAACAAGTTTATATATTTTAAGTAAACATTTTTTTCCTTCTCCTTAACAACTGAGAGCCCTTTACCAGAGTCTGGAGGTTTGTTTATCAGCATGGTATGCATGGCCATTATATTGGGTCCAGTGAAGCACTCCACATATTTCAGAATCTAAGGAAAGGGGAAAAAAAGCTTGTGAGAATTCAGATACACAGGAAAGTGGCACAAAGCACAACTGTCTTTATGAGAACCGAGATGGCAACAGTTTGAAAAAACAATTGGTATTTCAAAACATCACACACAACACATGACACAGTTAGCATTTGGCAATCACTGGGAACTTACAACACTCTGAATTGAGAGGCTTTTTAGAACCTGTTGGAAACCCAACCACTTTTTATACAAGAGAGATAGAAGTTCCTATGAGATACCAACTGGGAAGGACAAGTATACCCTTCCTTCAATCAAAGCTGACGACAGTTGCCCAGCGAGAGGCCAGCTTCCTCTTCCTTCATGGAGACTGTTAAGAGGAAGGGACTGTGAAGAGGATGCAGCACACCTGTAGCCATCATGAGGGACCCAGAGGAAAGAAGAACAGCAGCCCATGGAGTTTATATTATAGTCTGGTGGGAAGAATGATGTTAAACAAATAATGGCATGGGTGATTGTGATTTTTGATACATGCCATAAAGAATAAGCTGCAATGAGAGCACGAGACTGGGAGGGCTGAATTAGTCACGGACTCCAGCAGCCAGGGTGCTGTCCCCAGCACCTAACCCTCCTTGGGTGGGGTGAAAAGCGGAAAAGACTCAACACGGAATGCCTACTACATGCCAGGAGCTTTATACAGACCCCAATTAAGCCTCACAGTAATCCCTGGAAATTTATGTCCCCATTAATTAATAATCCTTTAAAATGAACATCCCACACAAATAAGACTGAAGCTAATAAGCTGCCCGAGTTAACAAAGCCGGCCACATAAATAACTCCAAATTCTGACTCCAAAATATGAAGCACATTTTACTACTTTCTCACTATTTGATCTCTTATGTATAAGGCATATTGGCAATACATGTATGAAACACTTCAAATGTTACAGAAATCCTATGAGTCAGTCCCAATATTTGTTTTTTTTAATAAAGGCTGCAATTTTTTTGTTTGCTTTTTCACTTAGGCCAGTATTCCCTAACCTCAGTTGTTTAAGAGCCGTCCTCATCGTTTCTGCCGTACTTTGCGGACTCTCCCGCTATAGTTAGGTAATAACTTCTGTAACTCCTTTTACTTGCTTATTCTGATTAATAACATTCTTGAAATCAAAGTTAGATGGGCTGGTTATTTTTTAACACACAGTCAAATAGATACCTATGAAAACATTGCATACCTCCTAAAAACCATTACATGAACCACCAGATACATGGTTCGTACTTCAGAGACACAGAAAATCTGAAAACCCTGGTAATGCTTCATTTACCACAAGTTGTCTCTAATCTTGAGCTTTTCATCCTTGACCTATCACACAGCTTCCATGTCCGTAACACAATTTGAGGTTGAGGTACGTGGATGGTCCAGAAGGGCCACTGCCCCTCAGGTCACCAAAGCAAGGGGCTGAGCATCACACACCTGTACAGTCTTTCTTCATGAGTCAAATTCTCTTAACAGTGCTTTAACCAAGCACTATACTTACTGTCTAATAAGTACTTAACTTCTAATAAGTATTATATGTAATGTCTCCTTTAAAACCATTCTAAGTGAATGCTTCATGAACGGTGATACAATGCACGTGTGCAATAGAATAATGTGCAGTAGTTTTAAAAGTGTGAGTAGATCCATAGGTACCTAAAGAATAGTATTTTTTAAACTTGTTTAAGCTTAAAAACAAACTCAGCTCTGCTGACCAGATTCATAAAACAAACAAAAAATAAATAAATGGATTTGTACTTCCAGCCAAAATGGAGGCATAGGTGGAAACACTATGCCTCCTCACACAACCAAATTTAAGGACAACAAAGATTTAGAAACAAAAACACAACCAAAACAGACAGAAAATTGAACTGTATGAGAGTCCGACAACGAACCATTCATCCAGACCCGTAAGAGGGGCAGAGTTGGCAGCTGGTAGAGAGGGGCCTTGGCAGAAAAAGGTGGGTGGTTAACGAACCTGGGCACAGGGACGAAATGAGCAAACCCAGTGAGGGCACAAGGCGGCTGGCTGACTGCGGTCACAATTCACATGCAGATAAACCAGGCAAAGGAATGAGCAGTGAGACAGACTGCACAACCCAGCTCCCCAATGACAGGAATTAAAGCATAAAAGCACCAATTGGAAAAACTTTCAGAAATTGAGGTGCTAGGAGAGGCTCTCAGTCTCACAGGAGAGTTTGTTGGAGAGACCCACAGGGTCCTAGAATGTACGCAAGCCCACCCACCCGGGAACCAACAACACCAGAACGGCCCAATTTGCTGTGGGAAGCAGCAGAGGGAACTGAAATCTGAGAGAGAGCAGAACAAATGCCATTGCTCCCTCTCTGACTCCGTCCCCACATATAGCGTTGCAACCCAATGACGAGAGTTGCCCCACCCTAGTGAACACCTAAGCCTCTGCCCCTCATATGTAGCAGGCGTGAACAGACCAAAACATTATGGCTCAAGCAGAAGAACAGCTCAAAGCCCCAGAGCCAATACTTCTAAGTAACCAAGAGATAGCCAACCTATCAGATGCACAGTTTAAAACACTGGTGATCAGGATGCTTACAGAACTGGGTGATTTTAGTCACAAATTAGATGAAAAAATGAAGGCTATGCTAAGTGAAATAAATCAAAATGCACAGGGAACCAACAGTGATGGAAAGAACACTGGGACTAAAATCAATGGAGTAGACCAGAAGGAAGAAAGAAACAACCAAAAAGAAAAGGATGAAGAAACAAGAATTCAAAAAAAATGAGGAGAGGCTTAGAAACTTCCAGGACATCTTTAAATGTTCCAACTTCCAAATTATAGGGGTACCAGAAGGGGAAGAGGAAGAGCAACAGTGGAAAACTTATTTGAACAAATAATAAAGGAGAATTTCCCCAATCTGGCAAAGGAAATAGACTTCCAGGAAGTCCAGGAAGCTCAGAGAGTCCCAGAAAAGATGGACCCAAGGAGGAACACACCAAGGCACATCATCATTACATTAGCCAAGATTAAAATGAAGGAGAGAATCCTAGAAGCAGCAAGAGATAAGGGGACAGTCACCTACAAAGGATTTTTCATCAGACTGTCAGCTAATTTTTCAAAAAAAAAAACCTTACAGGCAAGAAGGGGCTGGAAAAAAGTATTCCAAGTCATGAAATCCAAAGACCTACATCCAAGATTGCTCTATGCAGATGAGCTTTCATTTAGAATGGAAGGGCAGACAAAGTGCTTCTCAGATAAGGTCAAGTTCAAGGAGTTCATCATCACAAAGCCCTTATTCTATGAAATGTTAAAGGGACTTGTCTAAGAAAAAAAGATAAAAAATATGAACAGTGAAAGGACAGCAAACTCACAGTTATTAACAATCACACCTAAAACAAAAGCAATCCAAATGGACAGCTAGATCAGGAGTGGAGTCACAGAAATGGAGATCACATGGAGGGTTAGTAACAGGGGAGTGGGAGGAAAAGAGGGGAGAAGGTACAGAGAATAAGTAGCATAGACAGTAGGTAGAAAATAGACAGGGGGAGGGCAAGAATAGTATGGGAAATATAGAAGCTAAAGAACTTGTGACACATGGACATGAACTAAAGAGGTGGAATGGGGGAGGGGTGTGCAGGGTGGAAGGGAATGAAGGAAGGGAAATGGGACAATTATAATGGCATAATCAATAAAATATATATAAATAAATGGATTTTCAGTGAATAGCCTCAGCACTCTCACCCCTTTGTTACACCTACACTGATTGTAAGAAAGACTCTCTCTTATCATAGAATTCCTGTCCTTCTCAACCAAAGATAATTAGCAACCTTGGAGTGGGGTTTCTCGAATTGGACACTACTGACATTTGAGGCTGAATAATCATTTGTTTGGGGGAGGGGGCTATTCTGTATATTATAGGATCCCTAGGCCCCATTAGCAACAACCCTGGCTTCTATGCCTTAGAAGTCAGTAACACACCATCCCTCCTTGTCCATGTATGCCAACCAAGCATATTGAGAGACACTGCAAATACCATCTCCCACTGAGAACCACTGCTCTAGGCCACAGCAGAAACATGCTAGATAAAGTAAAAAGAACAGACTTCAGAGGCAAGCATGCCAATGGGCTATTAGCTTAGAGAAAAAAAATGCAAGAAGGTCTTGAACCTCAGGGAGAGTGCAGTATCTGAAGAGTTCCTCATCTTCTTGGAAATTCTGGACCTTGGTAACTGCTTCTTCACTTATAGCATATTCTGATTTTGCAATGGTCACATCTTTCATTATCTGTAATCCATATGGTTTTACCTCCTGTTTGCAGATTCTTTCAAACTCATTCCTAGAAAATTAAATTGGCAAATGATGTCATTACTGCTGCCTTCAAGCGCCTGCCTGGCCCCGTTCTGGGAAAGATTTACAGATTTTGGGAAGGGGATCTCTGCACTACGATGGCCTCCAGCCCGAGGCTGAATAATTCTGATGGAATGGAGGAGATCATGGCCAACTCAGAAGTCCCTGCCTTCTAACTGGGAGCAGACCATTTGGGGAAATATGTGTGATTTGGTTATATCTGAAGAATAATAGCAAATGTTCCTGTAGCACTTACCCTGTGCCAGGCCTTGTTCAACATTTTCTCTCAATATGTTTACCTTATTTAACCCTAACGCTAACTCTAGGACCCAAGTACCATTATTATCCCCATTTAACAGGTATGGGAGCAGACACATGGAAAGGTTAAGTAAATTTTCCCAGGACACACAACATTAAGTGGTGGGGCTAAGATTAAAGCCAGCCAGTTGGGCCCCAAAGTCCATGTTCCTGACCACTTTCTAAGGAACCAAACTGCTAAATAACGTCTGAACATGCACAAGCTAATCTTACTATAATCCCATCAGAGACATGACATGTACTTCTGTAAAACAACAAATAGTTACTATACCTAAAGCGTTCAATATCAGCATCAGACACCAAATTTTTAATGACAAGAAACCCATTTTCTTCGTAAAACTTTCTCTGTTCTAAGCTTAGAACATTATTATCCAGAGTATACCTAAAGGAGAAAATAAATCTCAAGTAAGTCCAATTTAAAAATCACATCCTAACAACATGTATCAAGAACCCAAGAAATGATGGTATTCTTCCACTCAGCATTTCTATTTCAAAAACTTTAAGAAAATAATCTGAAAGAAAATTTTAAAGTTTTAAATCCAAAGCATTAACTACTGTCTCCAAGAAATAGAAAAATGATCAAATATATCACCTTCACTCAATGGAATATGACTCAGGAATTAAAAATGAACAGCATATAATAAAAGGACAATGTTTATTATAATAAAAATATGACAATTTATAAAACTAAGACACTATTTGTAAAAAAAAGACTGCAAAGAAGTTCAAAAAATTTTAACGGTGACTGCTTTTATGTAATGAAATTATGTATGAACTTTTAAAAACTCCTTCTATTTCTCCAATTTTTTAAAAAAGATTTTATTATTTTATTTTAGAGAGTGGTGATGGAAGGGAGAAAGAAAAGGAGAGAAACATCAATGTGCAAGAGATACATCGACCTCTCACATGCCTCCACCTGGGGTCTTGGACTGCAGCCCAGGCACGTGCCCTGACTGGGAATCCAACCAATGACCTTTGGATTCACAGGCTGGCACTCAATCCACTGAGCCACACCAGCCAAGGCTATTTTTCTGATTTAAATTTTATGTGTGTAATGAATAGGTATGGTTTTGCAGATCGGCAACAAATTCAGACATTTTGTATTTTTAATTGTCTAGTCCACACATTCTCCAAAGAAATCAAAGTAACAAAATCCAAATTAAGTGTACAGCACACACACAAACTCAAATCCCTCAGTCCATTCCTCTAGCTGGAATTGTGGCTGTGTATGAATATTCCAAGGAGCTCAAATGTCTTCTTCTTCAAAGGTGATTTAAGATAAACCAAAGATGCTAGCTAATATATCCTATGACCACATGACAGGTGAATTTAAATGAGATATACCATGCCTGAATTTTAAAAACCAGATTGCACCCTTTCTGATATTTTTCCTCCTTTCTCAATTTTAAAATAAAAATAGAAAATTAAAGTCAGGATCTTCAAAATTTCCCACAATTTTTCTAATTACAACAAGTCCTGGAAACAAAGGCCTTGCATAATAAATTCTTACCAGACAATGTAATATAGTGTGTTTTATATCCTAGTTACCACTAGAAAAAAACTTTATATACATTGTACGGTAAAAAAATTAAAATTAGATCTACTTACTGGAATTGTTGAGGATGAAAACTGGCAAAAGGAAGAGTCCCTGAAGTGGGGTGCGCTATCTAGGATGTGAGTTAAGGCAATAAAAACTTAGAAGTCGACCTTTTCTACAAACAACAGTCTGCCCAGGATTGGCTGTCCTAGGGAAGACTTGTCCTAATGGCTACCAAGCAAGCTGGTTACACATATAACCTATGACAGGTATACACTACTGCTTACATCACTTCATTTCATTCCCACAGTTGCCTGAGGAGGTGGCTGGAAGCCCAAGAGCTTTGTTATGGGTCCTGCCACTCAGATCAGGAAACCAGGTTTAGGGGGCTCAGTAACTGATCCACAGAAGGTCACCCCACAGAAGATGGCTGAGCCAAGACTTGACCCACACTCTTTACTTGGTAGCTTCCATCTAGTTTATTCCGCAAGACTATTCCTTCCACCAAGCTGCTGAACAAATAAAAATGGAAAGTTTCAATTCTAGAAGTAAGGAGAAACACATGATATTCAACAGAGGTATTTAACTTAGTTAGAGTCCAGTCCAAAATATTAGAAACAGTCTGGCTGGTCATTTAAAAATAGTCTATAAAATAAATAATGATGCCAAGAAAACATCATTAGAAAACGACCTACACAGCTGAATATAAGTTTAAACATCTTAAGGAACTAGTAGTTCTAATTTTCTTTTTTTGTCCAGTAACCACGGATTATTGATTTAGCATCTATTTTTCTTTTTTTTAAATTTTCATCATATCTTTAGTTTAGAGTTATTTTCAGAATGTCACTAACTCATAAACATGTTGTTTTTAACCATCTTTAAATAACTGGGAACAATGTTATAGCCCGCAAGAAAGGAGGGCCAGGAGTCAGAATTACTAACTACTGTCTGTTTTTCATATGGCACAGAAGTTAATGATCTTTGTCAATATTTTCAGAAAAATGTAGTTGCCAGGACAGTTCGAATGTCAGCATTCCAGTGAAGAAGACAAAGGACAGGGGGAGAGGGAGAAGACAAAGAGGAAGAAGGAAAAGGAGAAGAAAAGAAATACAGATGAAAACACTAAACTCTGACCTTGACACTATTATAAGAACCAGCAGGATCGGGAGATCAAATTTTGAAAGTAGTTAACAGATTGGATGAAGAACCTTAATTCTAGTTGCAGTTATATCTAGTCCCGATATAGTGGTGATTCTCTCAATCGAGACTGTGTCAGAAAGTGGACCCATCCTCACATTACTTGATTCCCTAGGTCTGTGAGCTTGAAAGTCTGCATTTCTAACAACCTTCCACATGATGTTGATGGTCCAGGGAACACACTTAAGACAACCATTGCTTTAATTAAATGACCTTGGTCCAGAGTTTTAATTTCTCCTAGCCTCAGTTTTCTCACCTGTAAAATGAGATTATATAATCCCCTGGGCCCTTCATCAGCCTATGGACAGGATTTTAAATGCACAGTGGTTCTGATACATTGCTTCTTGGAACTCAGCTGGAAGAGCAACAGTGAAAGTAAAAGAAACAGCTAGTATGATCAAACATCTTATGAGATGGTAGGATCCTACATATAGGCAGACAGAGGCTAATCAGGTCGTTTAGTGAGCAATTCCAATTTTGTAGGGAGCTTTCAAAAGTGCGGCCTGAAAGAGAACGCTTCATCTGAGCAGCAAGAACAATTCTATACAGCAATTTGAATGTCGACGTGTCCTATGCTGTAGTGACACATCTTTCCGGCCCCAATACCACAGCGCACCTATTGCCTCCGGATTAATTTGTGATGCCGAATCGGGAGGTGGATCCAAGGTACCAAGTCCTTCCTGTTAGACAGTGTAAACCTGTTAGACAGTGTAAACTTGTAGGGCTACGAAGCCCTGGGTTCCTCAGGGAAGAGCTATGGGCGCAGGCCGCAGGGCGGGCTCCCTGCAGAGGACGAGCAGGATTCCCCGCTGAGGCCCACTGCCCGCCGGTTGCCTTGGCTCCTCACCGGACGACTTCGCTGAGCTCCTGCTCTCGGGGCGACTTCGCTGGGAGGTTTCTAGGTTTCCCGGCAGGCGTGGAGGTCAGGCGCGGCCCATCTCAAGAAACGACCAAGCCTCTGAGAGCAGGCTCCCTTAGTGACAAGGGCCGGATGCTGGAATGACACCTCGTCGCCCACTGAGGCTAGCAGCAGGGACCGGGGATGCGCCCTCCCCTCGCTGTCCGCTCGCGCCCGGCGGCCGAAAGGGCTGTGACTATCGCTGGGAACGGGGCACAGAGAACGGGGAAGAACCGGCGCTGCGGCCCTGCGATCACCCAGGGAGCCACCACCCTTCCGGCCCGAGCCCCGCTCAGTCCAAAGGATACTACGGCCCCGGCCCAGGGGCGGCCGAGGTGGCCCAGCACAACGTTCAGACGACAGGCAGCGCGAGACAGATCCATGGTGACCGCGGGGAGACCAGGCTGCTGGCCCTGCGCTGCGCTTCACTTTTGCTCCAGTCCCTGCGCCCCGCCCCGCCCCACCCTCGCGGGGCGGGCTTGGCCATGAGCTTGGCCTGATTACGCCCCCTATGGCGTGCGCGGGTCCGCCCCCGGGCCGTGGCGACTGACTTCCCAGCCTTGGAGTGACTGGTTTAATGTCGCCTAGGGAGACAACTGAAGCAGAAAGTGACCCACAGTCTTAACGGCATAGTTTCGGATATTTTATTCCACATGACCGTTCCTTCCACAAAGCTGCTGAAAGAATACAATTTAAGTGTTCACCTCTACAAATAACACATGCTCTTAAAAGAGGCATTTAATTTAGGGAATCCAGTCCGAAATATTAAAAGCAGTTTGGCTGGTCCTTAAAAAAGAAGCATATGAAATAAATGACTCACTGAAATGTCTGATCCACATTGTCTAGTATAATTCTAAATTTCCTAAAGAACTAGACTTTTTGTTTAATTCCTTGATTTGGGGATAAGTGTGTATACACCAGTGGAAACTGGATCACTAGCATCGAGGCCATGAACATCTACGTGAGAGGAAACCTCTGCAAGTTTCCTCTCACGTGCTTTCTCATTTTTTGTGTGTTTATGGTAAGAACACACAAAATCTACTCTCTTAGCAAGTTTTCTGTACACAGTGCAGCATCATCAGCTATAAGCACTAGGCTGTATTGTACATCTCCAGAACTATTTATCTTGCATAACTGAAACTTTGTACCTTTAGACAAACACCTCCATTACCCTCTCTCACAGCCCCGGCAACTACCATGTTTCAGTGAGTTTGACTCTTAGACTCCATATATATGTGTTACCAGTGTCATATTGATTCTTTGGTGACAAGTTTTTCTCACTTAGCAGAAAGCCCTCAAGATCCATTCGTGTTGTCACAATTGCAGGATTTCCCTTTTCATTAAAGCTGAGTGATATTTCATTGTGTATGTGTACCACATCTTCTTTACCCATTCATCTGTCAGCAGACATTTAGGTTATTTCCATATCTTGGCTATTGTAATAATGTAATGGATGTGGGAGTGTAGATGTCCCTTTGAGATCTTGATTTCAATTTCATTGGATAAATGGGATCTTGAATCATATGGTAGTTCTATTTTTAATCTTTTCGGGAATCTTCATACTGTTTTCCATAGTAGCTGTAAGAACTAGAAATTATTTTCTGTAAGATGTTTTCCTCCAGTATCCACAGATGGAGTCAGTTTCTCATTGTTTCTTTTTCCTCTCTTTTTCATTGCTTATTTAGCTTAAAGAGTTACTTCCAGAATGTCCCTCCTCATAAACATGTAATCATTTCTTAAATAATGACTTCATACAATGTGATGAAACTACCATAGTTGAGGAGAGAAACAACCCAGGAGTCTGAATTATTAACTACTGTCTGTTTTCTCAAAGGCAGAAAGGGGAGAGTCAGCATCAAGCAAGACCTGCCCTTTGGCCTTTACCTCTGGGTTCTATATTCTTTTCCCCATGATTTCTCCTTACCCAGACTGACAGATTCCTTTAGGTTAACAGAAATGCCACGGGCCTTCTCTCTTAACATCATCTTCCCAAACTGATCATCCTATGGCTGAACCCACCCCTTACTTAACTTGCCAACTGGATAAGGAAAAGCAATTATGTTTATCATAGTTTAAAATGAAGTATCTGGCCTTTGGCAGGTACAGGAAATAGAATCTGCACCTTTGTGCTTCTGAGAAAACCCTAAAGGTACTGGCAACAGATGAATAGGTGTCTGTTTACTGCCCTCACTTGATGAAAAGTGGGGACTGCTAGAAGGAGAAAAATAAAGCTAAAAAAGTGAAGTCAGTTCACACCCACGTGAATTATTTAAAGATCTGGACTTTTACTCTCATGAGCCCTGAAAGTTTTGGCCTTCTGGATCAGTGAGAAATACGGGTAAGATGAAGCTATCTACACCTATAATTTGAATACTCCCTTAAAATACCCTCATTTTACAAGTGTGTGAAAAATCCCTGCCCTCCCTACCATTAGGCATTTATACAAAGGATATGTTTCAGTTTACGATTATTAAAAAAGACGGAGGAAATCCGTAAATACTTCTAATTGTTATCTGCCTTTTTTAAATTAGAGGGACATTGAGTCTAAGATTTTTCATTTAAAATCCCATGGGAATTAGAATGGTCATTTCTCTTTAGGTAAAAAGGTAATCTGATGGAGTTTGCTAATTTTTTTAAACAGCAATTTGGATTATTTTGAAATTCCTCCAGTAGGCATCCTTAGTAATTGTGTTAAAAGAAAAATATTTTTAGAACTATTGGAAACAGAACATTAATGTCACATTATCACAAGAATGATCATTTCTATCTCCTTTCGAGTTTGGTATTTATTCATTTCTCATTAAAGTTGTAATTTTGAGTATTATTTTATTTTTTAAAGATTTTTATTTATTTAGTTTTAGAGAGGGGAAGGGAGGGAGAAAGAGAGGGAGAGAAACATCAGTGTGTGGTTGCCTCTCGTGTGGCCTCTACCGGGGACCTGGCCTGCAACCCAGGCATGTGCCCTGACTGGCAATCAAATTGATGACCCTTTGGTTTGCAGGCTGGCACTCAATCCACTGAGCTGTGCCAGCCAGGGCTTGAGTATTATTTTAAATTTACCTCCTCCCTTTAAGTAATTTGCTTAATTTACTTAAATATTGAAAGTAACCTTGAAAAAAAATGTTCAAACACAATTTTCAAAGACATTTAAGAAATAGTTTCCCTCAAATGTATAAGAAGTAAAAATAAAAACTTTTAAAATAATAGCCATATTTGAGCACCTAAGGAGTATGACCTAAGGGAACCTCAGATGAAATTGTTCAAATCTTGTTCACACCTAAGAAAATGGCATCATATAAATGAGAAATCATAATCAATTTCAGATTCAAAAATGCCATTCCCCACTCTCCTACATCCCGCCTCCCCCAAATGCCATTCATTCCCTCTGGAGGAAGAGATATGACTGTAGGTCACGTAATTGGTAGCAGGTTTTAAAGATCATTTAATTCACCTTGGCTGGTGTAGCTCAGTGTTGGGCATGGGCTGCCAACCAAAGGGCTGACCGGTTCGATTCCCAGTCAGGGCGCATGCCTGGGTTGCAGGCCAGGTCCCCAGTGGGGGCCACGTGGATATTTCTTTCCCTTTCTTTCTCCCTCCCTTCCCCTCTCTCTAAGAAAAAAAAATAATTATTTTTTAAAAGTTCATTTAATTCATTCATGCATCAAAAGGAAGCAAGCCCTCTTGCCCTCTTCCTGCCCTTTCTCGGCTCTCTCTTCAGCTCTAGGACTGTTCATTCAGCACTCCTAGGAAAGGAGCCCTCCCCCTCGTGCGATAACTCCCATCCCCTTCCTGACTGCTCTAGAAACTTGTTCCAGCGAGTATTCTCTCTGTGTCTACTGGTTATTCCCTTACATCCCTGCCCCCCAGTCAGCACACAAACATGTTGTTATTTCTCCTATCTTACAAAAACCACCTATTGGTTCCAAATTTTCTAGTTATCACTCACACATTTCTCCTTCCTTTTGCAATAAAACTTGAATAAAATTGTATAAATCCATTCTCCATTTTCTCCTCTCATTTTCTTGGTGAGTCAATATTTATCCTCATCATTTCACTGAAATTTCTGTCATCGAGTTCACCACCAATCACCACGTCGAGCATCCAGTGGCCGATTCTCATTTTAAAACTTACTGGACTCAGTGAAACACTGAAGCGACTTCACTCCCTGCTTCGTGTCGGCCTCATTCAATGGTTCTTCCTCATTTGCCAGGCCCCTATTGCAGTCCACTGACATCTCTTTTCTACAAACGCTATTAATACTTTCCTCAGTAACTTCCTCCGGTCTCATGACTGTAAATTCCTTCTGTAAATTAATGATCCCCAAGTCTATACCTGCCCTGTACTATCCAATAAATTCCAGACCGCGGGCATCCAGCAGTCTACTACACAACGTCACTAACGGACATCTCCAAACAGAGTTTCTGATGTTCCCCCCTCTAAAGATCATGCTCTCCCCTAAAAAAAAAAGGTACGTCCACTTCCTAAACGCTGGAAAAGGGGAATGTGACCTTGTTTGGAAAAAGGGTCTTGGCAGAAATAATTAAGTTAAGGATCTCTAGATGAGCTCCTGGATTACCTGGGTGAGACCTAACCCCAGTGAAATCTCTGCCCTTGTGACTTTGACACATCACTAACCCGTCCTGCTGAGAACCACCCATCTCTGGCATTTTGCTGTAAAAAAACAAGAAAAAATCACACGCGCGTGCGCGCACACACGCTGCACTCGCTGCCATTTCTTTAGATCTGAATTAGAATGTCAGAATCTGTCCCATAAAGATCATGGTCTCAAATGAAAGTAATTTAAGAAAAACAGTATATAAGGACACAGATATAATTAAGCTGCATGTTGTAGCTATAAAACAAACTTTCTATAAATCATTTCCAAACAAAGAAATGTAAGCTTATTTTCTCCAAGCCCATAGCTGATGTCATAATTCAGGCATAATTAAAACAAGTGTGAAGAATTGAGATGATGTATGGTACAAAGATATTTTTAATCTCTCAGCCTGAAACAGAAGCTGAAAGATAGATATGAATTTGAGAGAGGACAGAAGGATAAGATTATCCTTTATGGAATTGTCTGGATTGAGAAATGTCAAGGACTCGGGTAATTAGCTAGCACAACACAGAGTTAACCAACAAACCTTAGACACTTCGTGAGGGCCTAATTTGTGTAGGGCTATGTACAAAGAACAAGGGAAAATAGGGAAAAACGGGTGCAGGCAACTATTCATGGTACCAGAGGCTTCACATCTAGTCAGAGAGCAAGGCAGTAAATACCTTGCAAGGGCTTAACAATCTGTACAAGACATTTCTCCACTGGCAGTGTCTGTGGCCAGAGGAGAGGTATAGAGGCAGAACCAGGGGCTCCGCTGGGGGAAGAGGCATTTCTGTTACAAAGTAATATGTCTGAAAATGAAGGAAGATAGGAAGCTACTCAACTTCCGGGAAGAAATTGTGTTTCTGGGGCCCTTCATGTATATTTTATTTTGCCATCAATCATACTAATATATATTTAAATACATACTGAATAAGTAAATTTAAATAATTTGATGCTTTGAGATAGAATATAATACAAATGTACTTATGCTCCTGCTCCCCAAGAAAATACCATTGTTAAATTTTCATGTATTTTCTCCATTCATACATAGTTGGGATACACACACACAGATATTGTTTACAAAATGGATCTTTTTTCACCCTTGTATTACAGCATAAGCATTTTACCATCAATAAATATTCTCCAAAAATGTTATTTCCTGGGATGTAGAGTTACAGATTATTCTTTTTCTCTCCAGCTTTATTGAGATATAATTGACAAAATTATATATATATATATGCATATCTATATTATTTTTTAAATTGTCGTTCAAGTACAGTTGCCTCCATTTTACCACCTCCACTTTCCCCTGCCCCACCCACTCCCACCTCCCACCTTCAATCCTACCCACCTTTGGCTTTGTCCATGGATCCTTCATACATGTTCCTTGATGACCCTTCCCCATCTTTCCCCCATTACCCCCTGCACTCTCCCCTCTGGTTACTCTTAGTTTGTTCTTTATTTCAGTGTCTCGGGTTATATTTTGCTTACTCATTTGTTTTGTCGACTGGTTCCACTTATAGGTGAGATCATATGGTATTTGTATTTCACTACCTGGCTTATTTCACTCAGCACAATGCTCTCCAGACCCATCCATGCTCCCTTCTTTCTTTCTGCTGTTTAGTATTCCATTATGTAAATGTGTCACAGTTTTTTGAAAGTATTGAACTTCCAATACTACATTGAATAGAAGTGGTGAAAGCAGACACCCTTGTCTTGTTCCTGATCTTAGTGGGAAAGCTTTTAGTTTTGCCCTTTGAGTATGATGTTGGTTGTAGGTTTTCCATATATGGTCTTTATTGAGTAATGCTCCCCTATTCCCACTTTACTGAGTGTTTTAACCATAAATGGGTGCTGTGCCTTATCAAATGCTTTTCTGCATCTATTGATATGATCATGTGATTTTTGTCTTTACTTTTGTTTAGGTGATGTATCACATTTATTGATTTGTGAATATTGTACCATCCTTGCATCCCTGGGATGAATCCCACTTGATCATGGTGTATGATCTTTTTAATATATTGTTGGATGCAGTTTGCCAATATTTTGTTGAGGATTTTAGTGTCTATGTTCATCAGCGATATTGGCCTGAAGTTTTTTTTCTTTGTCATATCTTTATCTGGTTTTGGGATTAGGATGATGCTGGCTTCACAAAAAGAGTTTGGGAGTCTTCCCTCTTCTTTGATTGTTTCGAATAGTCTGTGAAGGATAGGGGTTAGCTCTTACTTAAATGCTTTGTAGAATTCTCCTGTGAAACCATCTGGTCCAGGGCTTTTGTGTGAGGGGAGTTTTTTGATTATTGCTTTAACTTTACGAGCTGTTATTGGTCTGTTTAGGCTTTCTGCTTCTTCTTGATTCAGTTTTGGAAGATAATATTTTTCTAGCAATTTGTCCATTTCACCCAGGCTTTCAAATTTCTTGGCATGTAATTGTTTGTAGTAAATGTTTTACAATACTTTTTCTTTCTGTGATATTAGTTGTAATTTCTCCTCTTTCATTTCTGATTTTATTTGGGTCCTCTCCCTTTAATTATTGATGAGTCTGCTTAAAGGCTTGTTGATTTTATTTATCTTTTCAAAGAACCAGGATGTACTCCTGGATGTACTGATTCTTTGAACTATTCTTTGAGTTTCTATGTCATTTAATTTTGCTCTGATCTTTTTTTAAAATGACTTTATTGTTGTTCAATTACAATTGTCTGCATTTTCTCCCCACCCTTCCCATAATTTTGCTCTGATCTTGATTACCTCCTTCCTTCAATTTGCTCTGGGTACGACTATTATTTCTTAATTTTTCAAAATGAACCAAAGCAGGATTATGTTCTAGAAACCAATTTTACACAACTCTGCTTTAAGAACCAGGCAAATGTAGAGCATGGCAATTGAGAATACCAATATAACACTGCACAAGTCTCCATGAATTTCTATGTGTATATGCTATGTTCTTGAAACACAGAGTAGAAAATGCACTGGCCTTTCTGCAATCAAATCACTAGTATAGTTGGCTTTCTATTTCCCTCCATGAAGCTTGGATGGGCTTCATTATATGCAGTCCTAAGCATAAAAGTCCCTCCAAAGGCAACAGGACAGGAAGGACAATCAGAAAACTCTAAAACGATCACCAGTGTATTGAGCTGGATACAACTGTAAAATACAGGAAGCCCTACAGAAACCAGGTCCAAGACCTCTTTACTCAGCGTTTACCCACTAACCCAAAACAATAGGCATTGGCAGCAAACTTGGGAGTGGAACAATTCTTGAACATATCCAGACACCTATGAACAGTGGTTGATGAAGGCCTATTCAATCTCCCCACTCCCATTTACATTTAAGACAGAGTCTTGACTAGAGGCAAGATGATATTTGAGTGCTCTACTAAGAATAGGACTTCAAGGGGAACACTATGTATACTATTGTCTAACTAGGCTGTATACTCAGAAACAATGTAAAACAGTTTCAAAAACACTGAGGTCCACTACACTGACATTGTCCCACTGCCCTCAATAGAAATATTATCATTAATATAAAATGACTTTATTACATATTGGTATGGTAAAAAGTGTGTATAAGTTAATTATATTAAAGTAAAAAAACTATAAAAATAGCACTTTGTATCTGTTGGTTTGCCTCGTGGAGCCTGCCATGTTTAATAACTGCACGGTTCATACGTACACTTTTAATAAGTGAAGTACATTATGCAGAAACAAGGGGTGTGCTGAGTGTGCAAATGAACTCAAGGAGACATGTATACACATATACACACATGTGACAGTTCAGTATTTGAAGCATCAACATCTATGCTTGCTTTATTCTAAAAATAAAGAATAGGTTAGTTATTTTGGTCTTTTTTTACTGAACACTACTTTAAACTTTGAGTTCAAATATAACTTTTAAAAGCAGCGTTAAACTTAGACTGCAAACTGCTGGTTCATTCATCTAAAATCAGAACAAGATACGTTTATAAATCAAGGCATGCAGAACTTGGCACCTGCAGTATACTTTTTAAAAATACTGAGCCGAAATTAAAAGTACATATTGCTTGCACAATATTTGAAGTTTATTTCCCTGGACTGAACCACAATAAATGCTTCAACAGTCTATGCAAGTAACAAACTTAACTTTCATGTCCCTGGACAAATAACTCCTGTTGCTGAACTGACCTCATCAGGGCCCAGCCTCTTCAGGCTGATTCATTAATTCTGTGCATTCTAACAAACTGTACTTTTGGATGAAACTGTCATAGACTTTAAAGAAAATAAATCATTGTATCAAGAACATATCTTGATGTTAAGTTTGTAAATGTTCTGAGAATGGCAGTTTTAACACTTATTTTTAAAAACTTTTTTTATTCACTTATTTTTAGAGGGGGAGAAACCTCAGTTGGCTGCCACTAGCACACCCCCAACTAAAGACCTGGCCTGCAACCCAGGCAGGTGCTTGGGAACTGAACCGGTGACCTTTTGGTTCGCAGGCCAGCACCCAATCCATTAAGCCTCCCCAGCCAGGGATCAATGTAAAATTTTAAACTGCTTCCAGGATGCCAACTGATTATCTACTTATTAATGGCTCACTTAATTTTAAAATATTCTACATAGATTTTGCCAAGAAAACAGATATTCAATGACAATCACCTGGTTCTTCAAGGAACTTTCAAGGATTTTTTTGTTTTGCTGGGCCCTGATGTCAGTAAACACAATGGTCAAGACAAAAAAGTCCCTAGGAAAGTATTGTAAGAGCAAGTTCACGTTCCTTCTCTCTCCCCTCTGCCTTTCCCATCCCTCTGCACCGTTCCTGGAGACCTGTGGTCCTAACTTTAGTGCACAGAGCCACTTGGGTGATTATTTCCCTAATCCTGTAACACCTACTCCACCCCCCCACCCCCCACTTTTGATTCTGTCCATCTGGGGTGGGTCTCAAGACTTAGCCTTTGACAAGAACACTCACATGATTCTAAGGCAGGTGAGCAAGACCTGGAGGCTCTCCCCTAAAGGTCAGCTCTTCCTCCTGGGATCAGATGAATGACAGACTTATAGGAAGCCAACCTTTTCTCTTTACAAATGTCAGTTTCCTCAAGGGCATAATCTGTTTACCTCACTTGCTCTCAGTTCCCATACTGCCAAGGAAATCATCAGCCTTGAAGACATGATCTACATTTAAAGTTGTTCAGACTTAGTCATCACTAGTGTATTTTTTTTTTAAAAAAGAGTTCAACAGTATGTTCATTTCTGAGGTTTCCAACACATTTTATTTTGCAGACCAATGGTTTTTAACTTTTGAGGACCAACATCTGTATAAATCCCTAAGAATGTCCAATTAATTTCAGTTCTGTAGCAGCCTCCCAGGTACCACACACAATCCTTACGGCTTGAGTGCCAGTGACACCAGTGACATGTGCCCGACAGGCTGCCCTTGGGGTCCCAAAAGGGGTAGGGGAGTGTCCATAGTAAAGCCTCTTCCAGGGGCTTTCTCTCCTCAGTGGCGGTTTCCTTTGGCAAGAAGTTGATTGGTTCACATGGCTCTACTGCCTGTAAGCGGGAAGCATTCATAAGCTTGCAGTGATGTGGTGCTTTTTCTCTCATGCAGACACTTGAGGGGCCAGTGCACTTGTGCTTAATGACAGGAATCCCTCCAAATCACTTAGTAGTTTACAATATAAGGAGGCCTCTGCTTCTAAGTAACACAGATAAACACCGTTTTAGATTGCCTATTTTTTCTAGAACTACAAAATTTAATTCAAGAAAATATAGGTCCCATGAAAGACTTAAAAGTTTTATAAAACTAAAATCTAGTTTTCCCCCAATAAATTGTACTTTAGCCAAAACCCTCCCAATGCTTCTAAAATAATACTAAAAGGGGCATCTGATTATACAAGAGCAATAAAAAAAATTAAATATTTATTTGAACAACAAGTTTGAGTTCAAGCTGCAATGTTGGCAATAAAGATTTTTAACATATCACAAAAAGCGTGCACAAAAATGTACTGGCACAAAGGACAAAATAATGCTCAGAATTAGGCTAAATAGCTGCTGATTTTAAGAAAACAAAAGGCCTGAAATCACTATACAAAATATAAAATGTATTATGCACTACCATCTGCAGAACAGTCTTTATTATTGATTCTATTTAAAAATTATTTGTGTAATTATATATTGAATTGTAAATGAGTATTATACACGAACCCCCTTTTAGAAGGCAATTCCTTGTTGCACTATAGAACATCTAATTACATTGCAAAAAGTATCCTGTTTTTGCTATTGGTAAACAGTTAATGATATTACTGTAATTAAGAAGGCTACAAAAAAAAAAAGAAATAAAAAAATTTTTGTCTTCCAAATGCTTTCCATGCAGATTAGTTAAGCATTTGCCTTGTTTAACTGAATGTACTACTGGAAAACATCCCGGGTCAGAGATGCTCCTGAATTAGAAGACTAGGCTTTACAAATCAAAGACTCAAAGGAATCATGCAACCCTCTTCCTAATGAGATACCATTTGCCACTTACCAATTCCGTCTGTCCAGAATACCATTCGAGACACTTAGAGATCAGACTGATGATAAATATACATGAAGTGAAAGACACAAACTGCAAGTTGACACTACAATTGGTAATGTCTGTGCTATGTGAAAGCACCTTTAAAAAGAGCCTATGCGGCAAGAGATAAGTGTCTAAAGATTCAAAATGAATCAACAGTATTGGATAACAATATAATTCTCAACTCAGAAGCTGCCTCAAGATTAGGTGCATCTTCAGTTAATGTAACAGGAAAAAAAAGGCAATGGATTTTATTTTATTAATTGCATCCGTTCACAAATTGACCTCAGGTCACCAATGTGTAGACACAATGAGATTTTTGTTGTTTATAGTCTTTAATTGAAATGATGATAAAGGAAATAGATCTATTTAAAAACAAAACCAAACAGCTATTTCGGTCTAGATTAAGAGGTGGCACCAGGTGTGGGATTCACATTTTGAGTAGCCACCTGTGGTGCGACTTCGATGATCCGGGGTTTGTCTATGATTCTGGCTGTACGGTTGCCCTTCTCTACGATCCCAATAATCCATGCCTGGTGACCTTCACCATATTTGGGGGACTTTATCTCTGCACAGAACCGAGCTGCTTGTTCACGTGGTAAACAGATTAGAAGGCCTCCTGGCAAAGAAAAACAAATGACCGTTAATTGTGATGTTGTGTGAGCCATTTCTCTATCACTATCTTTCTAAAACACTCCCGCACAGTTCTATGCTCAATGGAGAACTATTTTCAAGCTGCCCTTTTCACTAGGAAGCCCGTTCCGTTCTGCATCTACCAATTCCATAGATTAAACTGCAAGCAAGCAGTTTATTGGAAAATATGTGGTAGCTATTTTTCCAAGCTACAGTAAAAGAAGTATTTAAAAACAAGAGAGAAGTTTCCCTTTTTAATTCTCTACATGAATTCCTTGTTTTACAAAAACATTTCCTTTAATTTAAAAATTAAGATTATGAAAGATTGTACTCCTCAAAGTACCTAGGTTCTCTCACTTCCTCTATCATTATTTTCAAAAAAGTATAGAATATGTTTTTATGTTCTATAGAAATAGAAATAAATTTTCATTGCTATTTCAGTAGCAAGGGCAGGAAATTTTATTTGCAAATAGAAGTAACACAATCAGGAAAATATTTACTCCCTCATCTTAAAGGGCTCATGCACAGACTTACTCAGATTCACTACCTGTGAGCTCCAGTGTGGGGGCAGCAGACTGAAAAGCATCAAAGATATACTGGGAGGAAATGAATGGTCTAGCATCAGGGCGAGAGCTGGGGGACAGCTATCTCTCAGACAGAAGTGCTGGCAGAGGCCACTGTTCCTTTTCTGAGTCATTCCCCATTAAAGCCCACAGGTGGGCACCTTTTCTGAGACTCCAACAACCTGGCTCCACTCTTTGCTCCACCCTGGTGATCCCCTGAGCCACCCAACTTTCAAGCCCACCCAAGCTATTTCCAGTGGCTTTCCCATATGAATGGCTTGTCCTGGCCCACCTTGGCCCATGCTTCAAGTTTTCCTAAATTATCTCAAATAAGCAGTATCTGTCTTCAGCAAGCTCTGCACCTCTTGCTAAGTGGTGCCAGGCTTGGCACTAGCAGCAGCTGACCTTGGTCCATAGCTTGGCCTCCCCTGGGTACCTATAAGCCCAGCACAAGTAGCAGCTATCTACAGATTGCTTTGTAGCTTATGCTGTGTGACCTCAGAAAGAACATAGGCAGTGGCTGATCCTGGACATGCCAACAGCAATCAAGGCTCAACTACAACAGGAAGGTGAGCACAGCCCAAATGAAGGGTGCACCTCGACTACCCCAGTTTGGGTAATGGGGAGGCTGTGTAACTGAACCCTACTGGACACCTACTACTTCAGGCCACTCTACCAAGCCCAGGAGATGTAACAGCTCTACCTAATACACAGAAACAAACGCAGGGAGGCTGACAAAATGAGGAGACAAAGAAATATGATAAGCAATCTATCAGATTCAGAGTTCAAAATCCTGGTTATAAGGATGCTCAGTGAACTTTGTGAGGACTCGAACAGCATTAAAAAGATATAGTCAGAAATAAAGTATATACCTGAAATACAGAACGATTTATAGGAAAACAACTGTAGAATGGATAAAGCTAGGAATCAGATCAGCAATTTGGAATATGAGGAAGCAAAAACCACCGAATCAGATTAGCAAGAAGAAAAAAGGATCCAAAAAAATGAGAATAGGTAAGGAACATCTGGGACAACTTCAAGTTGTTCTCCTCATTGGGGGGGGGCAGAGAGAGAAGAGAAAGAGCAAGAAATTGGAAACCTATATGAAAAAAATACCAGAAAACTTTCTTAACTTGGTGAGGAAATAGACATGCAAGTCCAGGAAGCACAGAGTCCCAAACAAGATGAACTCAAGGAGGCCAAAAGTTAAAGACAAAGAGAGAATCTTAAAAGCAGCAAGAGAAAAGCAATTACCTACAAGGGAGCTCCAGGAAGACTGTCAGCTGATTTCTCAACAGAAACTTTGCAGGCCAGAAGGGATTGGCAAGAAATATTCAAAGTGACAAAAAGCAAAGACCTACAAGCAAGATTAGTCTACCCAGCAAAGCTATCACTAGATATCATTATTTTATATCAGATAAAAAAGCTTCCCAGATAAGAAAAAGCTAAAGGAGTTCATCTGGTTCAAACCAGATGGTTCAAACCAGTGTTATATGAAACGTTAAAAGGATCTTAAGAACAAGATAAAATTATGAACGATAAAGTTGCAACAAATACATATCAACAATTGACAAACAGGCAAGCTGAACAGAAACAGAATCATTGATGCAAAGAATGTTCTGACGATTGCCAGATGGGGGGCAGGTGTGGAGGAATGGGCGAAAAAGGTGAAGGGATTAAGGAGTACAAATTGGCAGTTACAGAATAACCATGGGGATATAAAGTACAGCATAGGGAATACCGTAACCAAAGAACAAATCCATAGGCATGGCCCATACAGTGTGGGGAGTGCCTGAGGGATTGGGGGGGTACTACATGGAGGGGGGCAAAGGGGAAAAAATTGGGACAACTATAAAAGCATAATCATATGCTTTTATATAAAAGCATAATCATATGCTTTTATATAAAAGCATAATCATATGCTTTTATATAAAAGCATAATCATATGCTTTTATATAAAAGCATAATCATATGCTTTTATATAAAAGCATAAATGCTATACACTATAAATGTATAATGTAAAATATAAATGCTATACATTAAAATGCTAATTCATCTTCATTGGCTAAAAATTGCAATGAAAATTGAGTAGTGACTTATTTTTTCTCCTTATCTTCCTTCCTCCCATTCTATCCCCAAACAGGGAAAACACTGAACTTAATACTGCTCCACCACACACAGGACGGCAGGAGGCTGGTTACCTACAGCACAAAGGGGCTGAGAACATTTTTTTGTGAAAAAGGTCAACATTATCAGCACTGACCTCACACAAAATGGGGTCATGCTTATGTATTTGGCTTCTTCCTTCTCACGGAATTTTCCATTAGCCTCATTAGTTTAATCCTCAGATTTGGGCCCAGGATCCTTGTACCTGATGTCTCCGGGCAGGTCCCATGCATGAGGCCAAACATGTTTCCACAGGCCTTGCTCACAGCTGCCATCTTGGCCAGGACAGGGAGGTTGTGAATCACAAAGGACACCTCATTCCTCTGTTGCTTGGCCAGGTTCTGTGCGTGGCCCAGAATTCCAAAGCCCGTGATGTCAGTGGCAGCATGGGCATTGAACGTGTGCATGAGCCCTGCAGCTGAGAGAGACCAGAGAAAGAATTTATTATCTGGTATAATACTTGGAGACTTTCTGAGGGGGAAAAAAAAAACCCAACCCTTCTTCAAGTTAAAATCTTAAATATGTTTGGACCTCAAAATTCCTAATTGTCAGGGAGACAGTATATTGAAATAATGAAAATATAATTTTTTAAAAAATCAACAAAACCCACACTGAAATTTCTGAAGGTGGTTTCTTTCAATTTCAACCACTTAGAACTAGTGGCTGCTTCAATGATCAGTAACTTCCCGATAAACTAAAAAAATCTGTATGGAATTATGATCACAATGAAAATTAAACCTGTCTAAACCATGTTAAAATAAAAAAACAGGGCTTTCAAAGACTGACAAAAATTTAAGGCGATTTTGCTGGAAGTGAAGCTTAATTTCTTAATTTTTAATTTAAAAAATAGTGTTTATTTTTGGATTAGTTTTAGGTTTACAGAAAATTGAGTGGGAAGTATAGAAGTTTCCATATGCCCCATTTCTCCTGTTTATCACAGTGTGATAAATATTTATCACAGTGTGATTTAATATTTATCACAGTGTAGTACATTTGTTACATTACTGATACATTAACTGAAGTTCACAGTTCACACCAGGGTTCACTCTTAAATGTAGTCTGTAGGTGTTGACAAACATATAACAAGCATCCATCATATTGTTATACAGGTATGTTTCACTGCACTAAGAATCCTGTGTTCCTCCTGTTCATCTCTCCCCCTTACTCTGGGTAACCACTGATCTGGTTACTGTCTCTAGTTTTACCTCTTCCGGAATTTGGAATTATGATGTTTGGTCTTTTCAGACTGGCTTCTTTCACTTTGTAATATGCATTTAAGGTTCCTCCAGGTCTTTTCATGTCTTGACAGCTCATTTCTTTTTAGCTGTCGATAATATTCCACTGTCTGGATGTACCAGTTTATCCACTCACTTGCTGAAGGGTGTCACTGCATCCAGTTTTAACAATTATGAATAATGCTGTGAGAAACACCTTTGTGCAGATTTCTGAGTGGATAGTTTTCAATTCATTTGGGTAAATACCAAGGGAGCACAACTGCTAGGTCATGTTAGTATACTTAGTTTTTTGTTTTTTTTTAAAGAAGAGTTTTTTTTTTTAAATTTTTTATTTATATATCTTTAGAAGGGAAGGGAAGGAGAGAGGGAGAGAAATGTATGGTTGCTTCTCATGCATCCCTTGCTGGGAACTGGCCTGCAACCCAGGCATGTGCCCTGACTGGGAATCGAACCGCAATCTTTTGGTTCACAGGCCCACACTCAATCCACTGAGCTACACAAGCCAGGGCAGTAGACTTAGTTTTGTAACCAATCATCCAACTGTCTTCCAAAGTGACTGCACCATTTTGCATTCCCACCAGCATTAGAGTTTCTGTTGCTCCACAACCCTCTCATTATTTAGTGTTGTCAGTGTTTTAATTTTAAGCCATTCTAGTAGGTGTGTAGTTTTGAGTAGCATCGTTTTAAACTGCCATTCCCTAATGACATACAATGTGAAGCACGTTTTCATGATTATTTGTCATCTGTGTATCTTCTTTGGTAGGGTGTCTTTTCAGACCTTCTGCACATTTTTTAATTGGGTTGCTTTCTCAGTGTTGAGTATGAAGAGCTCTCCATATATTCAGAATACCAGTCCTTTGTCAGAATTATTTTGCAGACTTTTCTTCTAGTTCATGGCTTGTCTTCTTATCCTATTGGTGTCTCTCATAGAGTGTAAGTTTTTTGTATTAATGAAATCCAACTTGTATGGATAGTACTTTTGCTGTTATATCTAAAAGACACCACCAAACCAAAGGTCACCTATATTTTCTTCTGTATTATCTTCTAGGAGTTTGGCAGTTTTGCATTTTACAATTAGATCTATAGTCCATTTTGAGTTAATTTTTATGAAAGGTACAAGGCCTGTGTCTATAATGATTTTTTGCCTACGGATGTCCAGTTGTTTCAGCACCATTTGTTGACAAAATTATCCTTTCTCCATTGAACTTTGCTCTTTAATCAAGGATCAGCTGATCATACCTCTGTGTGTCTATTTCTGGACTCTCTAGTCTGTTTCACTGATTTATTTTTCCACTCTTTCACCAATATAACACTGTCTTGATGACTGCAATTTTAATAGCCACTGATATTTATTACTGAGATTTACTAAATCAAGGGAGCTAGCAAAAAAAAAAAAAAAAAAAAAAAAGCCAATTTGTAATTCAACCACTTTCCTGCACTTACTAGATGTGACTTTTCTACAAAGATCTTTTAAAAAAGTTATTTGGTTTCCCCCAAAATACAGTCTGTACAAGAACAGTGAAATATGTGGTTGATTACCTTTACTTATCTTTGGAACAAGCTGGCACGCTAGCAACATCCAAAGGTGACCTAAATGTTTTAATCATTATGATGTTATTGATTTTTAGATACTTGATATACCTTAACTAACTGTGGTCACTCTTTTTTTAAATTCTCACATTATCTTGCCCCCTTTAATTTGACTGGTGGGAGCCTCTTCAAGTTATGTGAAGTGACATTATCATACCAGTTGCTGATAGCTCCATTACTTTCAAAGCACAGGAATGGCCCAGGCTTATGTTCGGTATTTCCTGTCCCAGAGTTGGAATCAGCCATTTCCCCAAGGAGTCCTGGCATTTTTTAGTGGAAAATGGTAATTTTCAGATCAGAATCTCAGGACTAGAAGTTTGTTACTAATGGGTTATCACTGCTTCTAGACCTTTTTGAAAGGCTTAGAAACAGGCATTTTTGAGAGGGAAAAATGCTAAGTTTATAATGATAATTCCAAATTCGAGATTAGATTTCTTAGTTCTTCTCATGTAATTCTTCCCCATGTGGTTTTGCCATTAAGTTGGTATATTACCAGACACGTTTTTAAAAAAATGGAGTTAGCAAAAGATCTTTTTTTAAAAAAAAATATTTTATTTATCTTTAGAGGGGAACGGAAGAAGAGCGGGAGAGAAACATCAATGCATGGTTACCTTTCATGCGTCCCCTGCTGGGAACTGCCCTGCAGGGAACTCATCTGCAACCCAGGCATGTGCCCTGACTGGGAATTGAACCGCGAATGTCTGGTTCGCAGGCCCGCGCTAAGATCTTCTTTAAGAAGATAAAAATTATGAAAAAAAAAAAGGGCAATAAATATGTATCTATCAAAAACTGAATCTAAAAAACAAAAGAAACAAGCAGAATAGAAACAGAATCATAGAGAATGTTTTTGATAGTTGCCAGATCACAGCGGGATGGGAGGGTGGGGTCCTGGTGATGGGTGAAAAAGGTGAAGGGATTAAGAAGTATGAATTGGCCCTGGCTGGTGTAACTCAGTGGATTGAGCGCGGGCCTGCAAACCAGACAATGGTGGTTCGATTTCCAGTCAGGGCACATGTCTGGGTTGCAGGCTGGTTCCCTGCAGGCCAGTTCCCAGCAGGGGACGCACGAAAGGCAACCATACATTGATGTTTCTCTCCCTCTCTCCTTCCCTTCCCCTCTAAAGATAAATAAATAAATAATTCTTTAAAAAAAAGAAGCACGAATTGGTGCAATAGCTATAGAACAGTCATGGGGGTGTAAATTACAGCACAGGGAATAGAGAAGCCAAAGAACAAATATGCATGAACCATGAACATGAACAATAGTAGAGGGATAGCCTGAGGGAGTGGGGTAGGGGTTGGGCGGAGGGAGTCAAAGGGGGAAAAATTGGGACAACTGTAATAGCATAAACAATAAAATATAATTAAAAATGTGGTTTGGATTTGTAAGATGTGCTCTTTATTAAATTTTTTAAACCATAAAAAATGACAAAACATTCTAAAGTCAGATTTATAAAATAATGTGTTCAGGATGAATCTGCTTTTTCCTTAGTCCCTCTGATATGTAACAATTTTTATTAATGATTTGTTGCCATTGCTTCTTTTTGAAAGTACAATATACATTACCTCATATTCATATGAATACACAAAATGTAGCATATTGTATACAAGATTCTGACCCTTGCTTTTTTTCCTTTAATCATATCATAGAGATAGCTTCCTAGTGATACAAATTTCTCATCCCTTTTTATAATCATGTGTGTGCATACAGACAAGAATTCAGTCATCTATGGATAGGCTTTGGATTGTTTCCTTCTTTTGTAATTATAAATAGTGCTTCAATGAATGGCCTTTCAACAAATATGACATTTCATATTCTGGCCACTGTACCTTTGGGATAGATTTCGCAGAAGTGGGACTGCTATGTCAAATAAATGTATGCATAATTTTTGCTAGATATGACCAAATACTCCTCCACAAGCATTCTGCCATACTGTATTCCTACCAACAATGTGTAAAAATATAAGGATGGGGAATCATAAATGCTCAAATATAAGCAAAATAATAATCCAAATTTATAAAAACAGATCCATTACCAACCCCTTTCCCATTGTTAAACTACTTAATTTGAAGGATAAAAAGAAAAAAGACTCCTCAAACAGTTTAAGTGTCATGGGAACAGAAACACAAATGAAAAGCCTTGACTTTAAGTGATGAGACATCAGGAGAACAAATAAATAATTACTATTCACCTTTGGAATACAGCCAGAAACTATTCCTGGAGTGCAGGGAAAAAATATAGAAAAATTGGATCTCAAAATCAACTCTTCAAAACTAAGTGAAAGGTAAAATAATTATAGTATATCTCTCTGGCAGAACACCTAGCCATTAAAAATTATGTACACTAGAATTATATAATATAGAAAAAAGAATTTAGTAATGTTACACGAATAAAAGCAGATTGCAAATACACACAAATTGTATGATAACCACAAGTTTAAGACATCCACAATAAAACAACAGTAAATCACAAACAACCAAACAGAAAAAAATCCTGGAAGAATAGATAAAAATATTAACAAAAGCTGTTTTTGGGTGCTGGGACCATGGACAATGCTTTTCATCTTTTTTTCATTTTCTAAAAACTTGTCCATAATGAGTACGATTTTTTTACAATAGAAAAAATATAGACAATAAACAGAAATAGAAAATATATTGAAGAATCTTTTGAATGTAGCATCCTTATAAACTGTTGTATAACCACTCTGGGAAACAATCAGCACCACCTAGAAGATTAGGCACACTAGCCAGTGTGGCTCAGTTTGTTGAAGTGTTGTCCTGTAAACCAAAAGGTCGTGGGTTCAATTCCAAGTCAGGGCACACAGAAGAGGCAACTAATTGATATTTCTCTTTTACATCGATATTTCTCTCCCTCCCTTTCCCCCTCTCTAAAATCAGTAAGTACGTCCTCATGTGAGGATTTTTTTTTATTTTAAAAAATAAATTAAAAAAATAGGAAAGCTGAGGCAGTAGAGACCTCTTAGACATGTGCACCTGAAGCCTTGACCAAGAAAATTCTTAGCAGCAACCCAAATGCCCAAGAGCAGCCCAGGTAAGTACGTCATGGAGTAGAAAATTATACAGTGCAGAAAATTAATGAAATAAAAGTATACAAAGCAGGGATGATGCTCAGAAACATTAAACAGTGAACAAAAGAGCAAGAAAAAAAATATACAGGTAGAATTCACTAAAAAAATACACAACTAATTTATTTCTTAAGAATGTAAGTCTATGTGATAAAAAATGTTAAAGCATGAGAATAAACACTAGAATCAGAACAATGGTTCCTCCTAAGCAGGAATCCAGGACCAGGGTATGGGACAGGCACCTCTGGCTTCCAAGGCCACTGTTTCTGACATCAGCCGGCAGGCACGTGGGCGCTGCACTGCTGTTCCTTAGGCCCTGCGCATATTTATTCCTACAGAAGCACCTGTGTGAGTTGCTCTACACAGACAATCTGGAAGCAGCCTGGCATTTGGAATGTACACTCCAAGAGGGCAGGGACTTTTGTCTCTTTTGTTTGCTGCAGTGTCCCTAGCACTTGGAAGAGTGAAGGACACACTATAGGTCTCTTCAAACATAAATTGAAGGAGTAAACTTTGTATACTATGTGCTAGTCATTCTTTTTGGTACTTCACTGATGTTTTTCTTTTTAATAATCCTGTGAATAGGATCTTGTTTCCCCCAAGGAAATACATATAAGAAATACGTGCATTTTCTGTTCTTAAACCCAAGTCTCTACAACCAGGGACCGACAGAGGAGGGTCTGCAGTTACTGGCCAACTCTGGCCCATGGCCTATCTTCCGGCTAAGAGCAGTCTTCTTTTACATGTTGAAAGAGTTGTGGAGGAAAAAATTCAAAGCAACTGAGACTACATGTGGCCTGTAAAATAGTTCGTTCCCATCTTGACCCTGTTCTGAAAACTTGCCGACCCAGCCGCAGACAGCTTCCCGCCCCAATACCTACCTGTTCTGTTGAGCCTCGCCATATTCATCATCGCCTCCTGGTATGCCAACTCCACATCTTCCTGGGTGACCACTAGTTTAATTTTATTCCATTTTTCAGGCTAATATAGGAACATGGGTGAGGAAGACAAGAAGGGAAAAATGTGATTAATCCCTACTTCTAACTACTGAAAGAAGCCTATTTTTCTTTAGTCATCCTAAGGGGAATTTTATTTCTCAAATTTTGTATACAACATTGTTTTCTTTTCCCCCCTGTAACTATTATTTTAGGTTTCCATTAGAAATACCATAGTGGCATTTTTTTATGTTTTCAAGCCACACTTCCGTAGTCAAATATTGTAACTTACTAGCTATAAAAGCTGCAGTGCCCAGGCAGTGAAAGGCATGCCGACACTGGGGCAGTTTCTCCTCTGTGGTAGGGTGTAAATCACATATGAATAGTTTTAAGCGTCCTTTGGTTCATCTCCCCATCTCCCCTATTAAGCTAATGGCTTTATTTTTCATATAATTACACTGTACTGGCTTTACCTGAATTCTGGATCAAGGCATCTTATGGACAAATGAATGTGAAGGCAACTTTGCTTGCATGTGCACTGAGGACAGCTGTGGTGACCACAAAGGTCATCATAAAAAGTAAGAAGAAAAAGGTGTTTCCCTTTTTCCTCAGTCAGTCTTCAAAGAAGTCAGCATCAGGATTATGGGTCCCTGACACACTGCCACCACGGTCCATTAATGACCACCATCCACGCATTCACTTCTGTTCTAAGGACACCCAGTAATCTACCACTCAGTGTAGTAATACCTTAGGTCTATCCAAGACCTATTCCTCCCTTATCCATTTTCCCCATTTCCCCCCAGAGGTTAACAACTCTTCTGAATTTTATACTTGTCATTATTCCTGTCTTTCAAAAAAATAGTGTTCTCATCCATACAGATGCCTAACAACATGCTCTTTGGTTGCCTCTGACTTTTATGAAAAGGGTAATGTACCGTCACAGAGTCTTTGAAACTTGCTTTATGCAATTCTGAGCATTAAAAAATGGTATAAAAGCAAAGAAAGTGTTGAGCTGGGGGTGGGGTGGGGAGAAGAACCCTAAACCCCTCCTCTTTGATGTCCCTTTACCTCACCGGCTTGCAACATCCTTGCTGAATTCCTCAGATATGAGTAGTTGTGTGGTGAAACAACTCTGAACATTACTGCCCAGCCATAACCTTCCAGGCAGATTTAGAGAGGACTCTACTTGGTGGGACATCTCCCCACCATCGCTGGATGAGAAGGGAAGTATAACTAGACTGTGGCAGCCTCAGAGATTTTCTCTGCTATATCAGCTGAACATACTTGGGTATGAATAACATGAAATTATTCTTCTTTTTCAACTGTATATTAGGACTGGTAGTTTCAGATGACAGTTGTAGAAATTAAAAGCATCAAAATATGTGAGATACACCACAAATTGTATTAATTTTTGAGTTGTTATGACAACGGGTAAAATCTTAAATAAAGTATGATTATAGCTTGGTGTAAAAGTAACTCAGGATAAATATCTATCTATTCCAGATGCTCTCTCTACAAGGTAATTATTCATCAAAATGTCCTAAGTTACTAATTAGTTGAAAAAACAACCAAACAAAACCACCAAAAAACTCATCACTAAAATAATTTAAATTGTCAGTAATCCTGGTTTTATTTATATCCCAAGCAACAAACTTTCCACACATTCTCTTCTGTATTATTTTTTCCTTTTTGTTAAATTTATTGGGATGACATTGGCTAACAAAATTATACAGCTCTCAAGTACATAATTCTATAACACATTATCTGTCTTCTACATTATTTTTTAGTGATGTTTAAGATATGAAAGATAGAGCTATCTCAGCACTAAACAAACCAAGCTCACTGCCTTGCAAATTCTCTTTACGGAACTTCTTTGAAGCCCCACGCTGGGGCTTTACCTCCTTTAAGTATTCAGTACATGGAACTCTGATTTAACAACAGACTAAGGACAATCCGTAGTATTTCTTTAAGGGTGTGACTGATACTAAACTCCCTGGTGGTGAAACTAAAGAAACTCATTTTGAGAAGACAACCTGACGACATTTAGAAGATCTAGACCTGAAACATATTAAAACATGTCCAAGGGGAAGGGTTTCCTATATGGACAAGACGCGACACTTACTTCAGAAGCAGATATATCTTGTAGTAAAGTAAAAGCACACTCCCTGCACTAGCACACTGAAGAGATTACTTGACCTGAATGTAAATGAATGCCCTTTTCTCCAAAAGCCACAATCCTGTAAACTTTTGTTCAGCTCCTCCTCCCCCACTGCAGGCAGGGTCACTCACAATATCCAGCCACTGGTGCACTGCCACTGCCACTTGTGTCCCCAGGGGCTTGGTCAGAACGAGCACATCCCCAGGCACGGCATTATCTGGCCTGAAAAAAAGAACAAGGGAAGGGCATGGTCAAATTAACCAAGGAGATAAATTCATCATTAGTTTAATAGGAGAAAGAAAAGTCTGGTAAAAAACACTGCCTTCTCGAACACATTTAAGTCACCACCACCACCTCGTGTTAGAGCCTTGCAACTTGCTATCGAGGCTACTGGAACAAAAACGCTAAAAGAGAATACAAGAGTCTACCAATTACCTACCAGTTCCAGCCCCCCAATAAAATGTATAAAGCAGCAAATCACTTAGCCTTCAAAGGCAAGGGTCTGATTAGACCCAACCATGCTTCCAAGGCAGCAAGACTTCTTAAATGAAGACTGATTCTCAGGCTATGCAATTCGCCCAAATCTGTGGGTCTAATGTTTTAGTGATTTCAGATCCAAGTTTCAAACTCAGACCAACCAAGAGAGCAGCAAGTTTCCTACTTGGCACTCAGATTACTGAGGACTGGTAGAAGTAGTTGCCTCCAGGAAGGAAAACTGGCAATGCAGATGAGTGACAGACTGCACTGTAGAGCGTTTTATACCTTTCAAATTCTGAGCCATGGCAACAGAGTGCCTATCAGTATCTAGTCACAAAACCAGAGAAACAAATGGAATTTGTACTTCCTTCAGAAAATAGAACATGGTGGCTTTTCTTCACAAGGCATGAAACATGGCAAGTGGCAACTTGTGCCAATAGAAAAACTTCTCCAAAGATCTAGGAATAGTTAAAAAATAAACCCTCATTAAATGATGCTCAGCATCATTAGTGATCAGGCAAATGCAAATCAAACCAGTTAGATATCATTTCAACCCATTTGAATGGCTATTATCAAAAACATATAATAAAGTAAAATAAAAATAGTAACAAATACTGGAGAGGACATCAGACACTAGAATCCTCCTACATTGCTGTTGGGAACCAGTCTGAGGGTTGCTCAAGTCAAACAGTTGCCACATGACCCAGTAATTCTTAGGCATATATACCCAAGAGAATCAAAATGTTATGTCCGCATAAAAACTTGTATATGCATGTTCATAGCAGCATCATTCATAATAACACAAAGATTAATCACCTGTGACTAAACTGTGGTATGTCCACACAATGGAACATTATCAGCCATAAAAAGGAATGAAGTACCGATACATGCTACAACATGGACGAACCTTCAGAGCATTATACTAAGTAAAAGAAGCTAGACACAAAAACATCACATATTGTATGATTCCATCCATATGAATGTCTAGAATAGACAAATCCAGAGACAGAAAGTAGATTAGTGGTTTCCAGAGGATGGAGGAAGGAGAGAATTGGGAATGATTGCTTATAGATAAAAGGCTTCTTTTGGGCTGGGGCGGGGTGTGATTGGAATATTCTGGAATTAGATAATAATGATGGCTGCACAACCTTGTAAATATAAAAAAATGAATTGTATACTTTAAAATGCTGGATTTTATATTATGTAAAACTTTGTTATGTGAATTATACTTCAATAAAAATACTGAAAATTTAAAAAACAAGAACAAAGTACTGATAGATCTTGGAAAAGGGATGAACCTTAAAAATATTATGCTAACATTATATAAAGTAAAAGAAGCCAGGATAGGGCATGACAGTTAGGGGGGACATGGTTCCTTGTTGTGTTGATGAAAACGTTCTAAACTGACTCTGGGGATGGATATAAAACTCTGTGATTACTAAAGGACCATTGAACTATATACTTTAAATGGGTGAATTTTATAGTATGCAAATTCTATCTCAATGAATCTATCTTAAGAAAAGAAAGAGAACCAGGCCAGGTGACATGGAACAAAACCAACTTACATGATAAATTCATTGGGCTGGCAGACAGTTGTAGCCACTCCTCCCAAAACAATCCAGGGGTTTAACACTGTTTGGCCGCCCGTTACAGACGTTCCTGCCTCCTCTGCTGCATCTTTAAAACCCTGTATAATTAGGGGCATCACTTTATCCCTTTCCTAGGGTTTAAAAGGACACAAATTAAAAGTCATATAATTCAGTACAAAACCGAGAAAAGAGTGTCTACACTTGTAGTTATAAAGAGAATTGTAAAACCCTAAAGAAGTCCTGAAAGTTTACAGACTGGACAGGGAGCAGTAAGAAAGAAGGACGGAATAGTTTACATTGTAGCCATTTCATCAAAAGCTGGAAGATATTCTAGATTACAATGGGAATGAAGCCCAGACAACAGAGAAGGAAAAAATGGAATGTGACTGTGTATACAGGGCTCTCCAAAACCTGAGCCAGCTCTTTAAATGGTCCTTAAGAATTCCAAGACTCATTTAATATGCACCCTCCGCCCTCCCCAGACAACTGTGTGCAAGCGATGGCCCAACTACACATCTGTGCAGGCAGAGAAGGGCCTACTGAAAACTCTCATTTCTATGAGGCAGGGGAAACTTCTTTTAGGGGACAAACACCAGTACCTTTCGAAAATAATCTAAATGGGAATTCATCTCTGGGTCAGAGAACAGGTACAGATAGCAAGGTTACAGACACTACCAGGTAAGCACAGGAACACACATGACACCCGAGCCCCATCACTGTCTACATCAGTGACCAATCAGCAACCAAAGGGAAGGGTGCCTGTCCCCTGGGGGTGCCGCATACCATGGGTCTGTAAGGCTGGTCCAGTTCACAGGCCTGGTGTGGAAGTGGCCTAGACTTTAAAACAAACATAAATGTCTTGGCTTTGGTCTACCCAGAAGAAAGGGAAGCAGGCAGTGGTAATGAAAATGTGAATAGGCCAGACTATTTTAATTCACTAATAGCTGCCCCAAAGTGGAGAACATGATGAAATACGGAAGTCACGCAGCCTGGGCTCCTCACTGTACAGATGGGAAAAGAAAGGTGACCAGTCCAGTGAAATGACCAAGACAACAGACAGTAAGCAGCTGGCTCATCTCCTACTTACCCTGTCAGTCATTTTATTACTGATTCCAAGGAGCATCAGCATATTGTCACATTCTGTGACCCCCATTGCATAGAGGTCACTGAGGACATTGGCACATGCTATTCTGCCCTGGAAGAGAACACAGACATGAGAAAGGACAAGAGGGGGACTTTCCATGTGTGGAGTGAGTCTACAGAGTAACTCCCAAGAGAACTCAGGGACTTTCCAGGGATGGCAGCTGCTGGGATGGGGTGCTGTTTCTGTGATTTGCAGACTGGTTACCTTTCCTTAATCACAGAATTGCTAGGCTATTCACTCTAAGTCATTTTTCTTCTGACATAAGGATAAAGAAACTCCCAAACATTAAAAATTTCAGTGGTTTTTTTGGGGGCTTGTTTAGGTTTTTTCAATGATTTTCTGGCAGACTGGCAGTTAGCTTCATAGCCTTCTGTGACTCGGTTTCAACAGTAACAAGGCAACGAGTGGTTTGCAACTTGAGTGCCGAGTGCTAGTTAGGGTTGCAGCAACTTATTGCCCCTTCTGTTCTGGCTTCTCTCATATGTTTTTAAGAGATGCTAGAAAAAGGATGAATTTTAGTTCTAGCTACCTCTGCCACCTGCTCAGGTGGGACACCTAGGGTGTGGCTAAACTCGGTTTCCCAGAAACAGAAATACTCCTCTAGAGGAGAAAACAGATGGATGTGTGGATAGACAACAAGTTTCTATTAACCTGTGTGCTTGTCACTGGCATTTGAGAGGTGAACACCCCACCCTCACCCCCATTTAGCTGCCTCATGGCCCAAGTCCCTACATGTGCAGCTTGATCCCAGCGCCCTTGGCACAGAGGAAGGACCTCTGGTATTTCCTAGTGTTAGGATGTTCCCAATCTCATCGGCTCCTCTCAGCTGGTAGTATCAGACTTACTACAGGGTACCATAACATCTCTACCCTGAAACACAGGAGTGAGGAATTTACAAATATCAAACCAAGAAAATAACTACAGACACACCAGTCAACAGACAGTGTGAGTTGACAGCAGGTATCCTTGCACAAAAGCAGCAGAGGGACTTCTGCCTAACTGCTCATGTGCAGTACACCAAGTGTAAGAAGGAAGTAGATCAAATGACTGCAATTGTGCAGGGTCAGGTCAGTGGTGGGATGAGAATGATTTGGATATAACAAAAACAAGCGCGCGCACACACACACACACACACACACACACACACACACACCCCATGGCCACAACCCAAAACCAAACAAATGGCAGTTCCAGATGTAAAAACACATTAGGTCAAACTTACCATCATGTAAGGGTCATCAACGATAGGATAAATATAATCTGTGGTTTGCACCAAGGAAAGACCACCATGCCTCAAAGGAATGACACAAGTATCCATTCCAATTCCTGCAAAGATGGAAGTCATCATCATCCACAAATCAAGAGGAAAGGCCATTTCATCTTATACCATCAGTGTTCTGCACAGAAGTGGTCTCCACAGGATACTTATAGAACAATGCATGCTGCCAGGACAGCAGTGTGTTTCCTACCAAGAAGTACTACTGAAATAAATGTGAATATAACTAGCCGGAGATAGAAAATGGGAGTAAAATTTGTTAGTTACAAAGACTCAAGCTCGGTGTGGTATAATTTTAGGCTTTCACGATGCCTTGAATAGATAGATATCCCTTTGTACACCGTGTCATGGGACTGGCACCGTATAGAATTTCTTTAAAGAATAGCATCAATGGAACTTTGGGTGTTTTATCTCTAGTTTATTTGAATTTACCTTCAGGCATTATTCTGTTTTCCCAACAGAAAATTTGTAAAATATTTTACACACATAAAATGTTATTATTCCCACATTTTAGTCCATAATGAAAATAATAAATTAGGAAAAAAAAGAGGGCAAAGACAGAACAGGAATTCATCATTTCCAACCAAGCAAGTACACAAACACTGTGGTATCTAAAAGCATTGTTTCTTAAGAGGACACCTTAAAATTCCATGTTATTCCCCTTGTAAAAACATGTCACTTTTACTCACTTATAATATGAAGGGGAAAAATGTGCTGAAAAAGCCTGTTGTAAATATTTCAATTTATTAAAATTGTTGTTAAACATTTAGAAAAAGACAGTCATACCCGGATACTCTCTGGTTTAAGAACTCATCAAACCCTGTACTAGTTGCATATTGATGAGAAAAAATGTTTCAGCACTCATCACTTGCTCAGGACTCATTACATTTGCTAGCACTTGTATGAGTCACAATGCCACCCCAAAAGAGAAAATGCTTCATTGTTCTTGGTTTCCACACTCATTATGAGTTCCGGAATGAATTAACAATGAGTAGTACCAAGGTACCACTGCTTAAACAACTGATAGGCTAATTAGTTAGACACACTTCTCTTTTCCTGAAATTATTTTAGAAACCATCAAGACCAACTTTTATAAGTTATACTTCTTTAAAAATCACCTGTAATGCAGGTAACTTTACAAATTCCAACTGGCCTTCCTTCCAAGTAGGCTGAATAGTGCTTTCCTATGCCTGTCTCGAAAGGATGTCACCTGCCCTCTGACTTCACCAGTGCAAGTCCATCAGCCACAGGCAGAGAAAAAGGCAGGATGAAGTACAAAAAGAAGCAAGGGGATGCTATTCTGACTCCAATTCAGAATTCTAAAGTAAACAAAAATAAATCATACTGAATCACGTGAAACAAAGACTTAGGTACCTCTCATATTCCGCATAAGGAAAATGCTCAGGCACAACTATTTCAGCACCACAAACATGACATACCCAACAGGGGCCGGGGCACAGGGCACCTTATTTTCCTAGGTCTTGGTCCATTATTACTAATGCAAAAAATAAAATCAAGTTTAATAAGAAGTCATGGATTCTGTGAAGACAAGCTGATTTCTTTTTACTGCACCAGATGGCAGCTCTTGGTGGAGGATCCAGTTAGGGAGCGGAGAGTTTAGTTTCAGAATGTCAAGTCTTGCAAATCTGTGACAACAAAATCCACTTTACCAGTGACCAGTTTTCACGTGTATTAGCTGAGTATATGTGCAGACTCTCAGAAATTTCACTTAATAATTGTTCTTTAGCATTTAGGTTGAAATAGAACAAGAACCACATTTAACTCATATTGATTCTCCCTAAATGGATCATTCTAACTGGCCATTCTGACTGTATGACTATTCACTTTGGAAATAAGTGAGATACAGTTTTTGTTTTATTTGTTTTCATATAAACTAAAGGACTGCAGAAAGACACATTTAAAAAGTCACTGAATATTAGCTTTAAGTGTTTCTAATTTGGGTATTCTTAAACTTGAATTACATATATTTGTAAAGCATTTAATTTTTATTTATACCTACAATCAGAGCATTTTAACTGATGACTCTTGAGCATGTTCCTAGGGCTGAAAAGAAGCTCACATTATCCTTATTTCCTCTTTCATAAGCCACTGGCTACATGTGGTACATGTGAAATGTTTATTTCTGATAGAGATGCATGGTGAGTGTAAAATGCACACCACATTTTATATACTAGTACCAAAAACCCCAAACCTCATGTTTTAAATGAATTGTTTAAATAACATTTTCTATTGTTATATGAAACATATTATAAGGAACTTAATCTAATTTTTTTAAAATGTGACTACTAGAAAATTTAAAATTACATATGTGGCTTACATTTCTTTTGGACAGCATTGGTCCATAGTGATTGGTTTACAAATCATCTATCAAACTTCAAGGAAGTAAGACAGTATGAGCCTGAGATGGGCCATGGGCCTGGAAAAACTAGCGTATCAAGGTGAGAGAGGGACAATCTAGGTAGAGGGTAAGTGGGCATAAAGGGAGATGTCAGAGAGTGGAAGAAGTCTCAACTACCAATCTGAGCTATGGGGAATTCTAGGAGGTTTTCAGGAAGACTGAAATGATCCATCAACAAAACCCAAACCATCACACCATCACCACTGCCAGGAACTACGAACACTTGACAGCTGTGAAGTACCAGGCAACAGATGTACCAGGTTCTTAGATACACCTACTTTAACACTTTTTTTTAGTTAGAATACATCTAGTATCTGTACATTTAACAACTGTTATGGTTCGACCCTCAATTAATAGCATTTTAGAATCCAGGAAATATGACACTCTTTTAGAAAAAAAAGAAAATCAGATAGACACATTTGTGTGTATAAATTTAGACACACACACACATATGTACTGCATATGTGTGTATACACAGTACATATACATGCATGATAATTTCCAGTATAGAAATTTACAAACAGTATTATTATACCACTGTATATAAATCAGGAAATTGAGGCTCAGGAGGGTCAAGAATGTGCGCACAGTAGTGTTAGTGACCAATAAGTGACTGTCAGAATATGACTCTAGATCTGATTCCAAAGCCAAATTATACCATCAAGACATACCACTTCTGTGTAGTTTTAATACCCTGCTTCCTTCGATGTCTATTTGCTTGTAATCTGGGACCTGTGGCTACCCCTAGTGAATGCCATGAAGGCAAATGCTACGGATGTGCATTTTTCTGGAAAAGGGAGACACCTCTTCATTTACTTCTCAAAACCCATGTGTGACCAGAATCCACTGCCTTTATGTCCTTATATCTGCTTTCCCCTGCCTCCTCCCTTGCTGTTGACATCTGTCCCCTTTTGCCACTGCGAAGGATTACAGGTGATGTAGCTCCTCTCCCCACTCTAAATACGTCTGGACTTAGAAACCAGATGACAGAAGGCAGAGGAAAGGAAAGACATGGATTCCAGGCCTTGCCCTTGGCCAAGTGTCATGGTGCTGCTGGAAGGAGCAAATGACCCTACCTACTACCAAAGTGCTTAACAGTGCACGGCATGCCCAAGTGCTCAAAAATATCAACCGGGGGAAGTTCCAAAGAGGAATTATTACTTCATCCACAAGGTTTTTATTGCATTGTCCTGCCCCATTCAGTAGCTATTTTTCTTGACAAAGCTATTGAAGAACTTTTTCAGTATACAGATGCTTTTTAACGTTCCTAAGTCAAAAATGCATTTAATACATATAACCCACCAGACATCATAGCTTACCCTAGCCTACTTTAAATGTGCTCAGAACACTTATGTTAAGCTATACTTGGGAAAATTATCTAACACAATGAATATACTATAAATAGTGTATCAGTTGTATCCCCGGTGATTTCCTGGTTGACTGGGACTGAAGCTTAGGGCGCAGCATCACAAGAGAGCATCAATCTGCATATTGCTAGCCTGGGAGAAAACTGGAATTCAAAATTCCAGGTACAGTTTCTACTGAATGCAATACTGCTTTCATACCATCACCAAGTCAAAAAAAAAAAAATTCATGAACCAAACCACCACAAATTGGGAACCATCTGTATTTTTATTTTTTGACAAGCTGATATCCAACCCAACTCATTCATGTGGTATTTCTCCATACTCAGACATCAGCTAGATGAGGACACTTCAAATTGACCTCCTGGGAGTCCTGAGGCCCCTAGAGTGTGGACTGTGAGCTTTCCTCTCTCCCAATCAAAGCAACTCTGCTTTTATCTGCCTTATGTATCAGGGAAGAAAGGAGTACCCTGGGTTCAAAACCAAGGTTGTAGTCACAGTAAAAAAATGGGCAAAAAAAAAAATAAGAATCTTATGAAAGAAAGCTGATCAAGTCACACACAATAACTGCAAAACATCCAAATTCCTAGAATACCCATCAAACAATCAAATCGCAATATGACCACAGTCTTGCATCACATACTGTCAAACCACACAATAAAAGCTAACAAGATCCCAATAGCCTATAATTTCGTTCTGAGGTCTATGTTCAGGAAAAGGCAAATCACCGATGACGTCGGGAATTCTGTAAAGAAAAAAACATGGCTCTCAATTCCAGATGACATCTGGGGGCAACTACAGTTTCAGTCCAGTTTTCTCCCCTTCTGTGTCTGGTCCATTCTTCTCCTTTCTCTGCAAAGGAACCTTTCGAACAGTGCATGTTGCCTGGAGAAACACCCAAGCCTCACCCACTCCCAACCTGCTCGCTGCTCTCAACGTTACTGCACACTGATGATTAAGCACCACCTTTCCTAAGGCAATGAAAGGACGCGAGCATTTTAAGGAAATGTTTGAGATAAAGGCATAAAGGAGTTTTTGCTTAATCCTCAGCTACCAAGAAAAATCGATATAATTAAAAATAGTTTTACCATAATTGTCTCAATCGTGTACTTAACAGTTTATAAATGGTTACAGCACATTTCAAGCACTTCCTCCTCCAGACAAATTACAATAATGTAGTAAACTACCTTGCTTCGTCCTTTGATTCTTTCTTACAAAAACTTTACTTAAAGGCAACATGGTTTTTGACTGACTAAATTGCAGCCAAGATACTTTACTCAGGGAAATGTAAGACAAACAATGGTTCACATACCAAGCCTTGGCATAACTGCTCCCAGAAACTGTTCATCTTCTTGGAAGTGGTTCTCTTGTAAGGATTCCAACAATTTCTGCAGGACATCTTGGGGCACTTTGCAGCCAGTACCCTTCAGTTCTGTGAATCTGGTTAGCCGGAAGCTCTTGTCCAATTCATAACTTTCCGGGTTAAAGGACTCCCGTGTAGACATGGTTCTTGGGTGTACACACCTCACAGCTGGGCTCCTCACCTTCCTCTCCTAGTCTGCTGATTTCTTTATAGATCAACCTGAGTATCACCAAAACACAAACACCATCAAAAGATTTCTCACTAGTGCCCCGAGTGGTATGGTTCAGTGGTTTGGGCATTGTCCCACAAACCAAAAGGCTGCCAGTTCAATTTCCAGTCAGGGCACGTGCCTGGGTTGTGGGGTGTGTGAGGGGCAATGAATTGACATTTCTCTCCTTCTCTTCCTCTCTAAGTAAAACCTTAAAAAAAGAAAAAGATTTCTCACTAGTACCTACCAAAAAGCAAGTGAATACATGAAATTGAAAAGTAAATGTGAATAGGACTGAAATCAGTAAGTCTACTGGGAAATGATAATTCGGGGCCCTAACAGTTCAGGTCAGTGATACATAAGCCAAGTAAGTCATTTTAAAGTGACCATAACCATCACAGGCATCCTCTAGGTAAGATCCCATGTTTGTGGTGTCATAACTGGGGCTCTGAGGGGTAGCCGACCTCCTCTGAAGAAGGAACTATGGGCCAGCTGGTTTACATGACACAGTGCCATCTTGAAAAGTAAGTCACAAAGGTTCTTCTAGTGTGAAACGTTATGAAAAAATGTCTAGTTACTTTATCTGTCAGCTCAAAAGCATTGTGATTTAGAAATTAGACGTTTGTTAAAGTGACTTTTCTGGAAACTTTTCTGATCTCTTTGTTATCTCACATAGAAAAATAAAACACCTACTAGATACTTTGCAGGAAAAAGACATTGAAAAGGCATTTGGTGAAATTCTTCATGACCTTAAATTCAATTTCAGAAAAACGTTTTTACTGAGCCAGAAGTACACAACACAACCCAAAACTAACAGTCTCACTAAAGTACACAACTTGAAAACTGGAACTGCCGTTTAATACAGTCAAATACATTTTCTTCATGAGAGCGGTGTAAAGTTCTGTTTTAATGCAGTGCTAGTTCCTAGAAAGCAAACATCTGCTCAACAAAATAGTACACACACATCACTGACAAAATATGCTACTGCTCATTACTGTTTCATCACAGAACTAAAGTGATAAATTAAGCTGTGCTAAATCACTAGCTTTATTATACTTGGTAGCAACGGAACAAGTACTTCAGAGTTCGAAACCTTTGGGGCTGAACAAAAAACTCACCATGTGCCCCCAGGGTTTACAAACCTTCGCTGTATTCTGCTGGAGATAGAATTACAGACGCCCCAAGTTTTAAGGCCAGTTTCCCTTATAAAATATACCATCAAGAACATAATTCCCAATTATAGTGTTTTCGATCGCTGCACAGGACATCACTCAATTCAAATAAATCTCACAAAGCCAAAGTCTGGGCAGTAATCCAAGATGTCTTTATGAAAACATGTTTGGGGTGAGCAATAATTTCGGTGTGAAAGCTACAACTGTGCCACATTCCAAGAAAACAACCTGTCCAAAAGGAGGGCAGCGGGAGAGCAGAGCAAGTGACCGAGATGGGAATTTCTGAAGCCATTTGAGAGTTAGGAAAGTCCTATCGGACGTTGACTTGGACGAGTCTGGAACAAAAGCAAAGTCCTTTCCTCTCAAAGTGCTTCCCATTTAACTCGGCCTCACTTCTACCAGAAAAAAACAAGAAACACCTCACTAGGCATCAAGTTATTTTCCTATTCTAATCCCTATCCAAAAAAAAAAAGACAGGAGGGGAATTTGTGGGACTAACTTACTTTTAAACATCATTTATATCTTCACAAATTTTTTAAGGGAATAAAGTTTAAAACAATTAAAGCCAACAAGGCACTCAAGAGTTTTAAAATTCCAAATGGAACAAGGGACACGAATCACAACATTCACAGACTAACATTAAAGAGTCAAATTCTTACATTTTGAGACGGAGATGAGGAAGGGGGTCTATTTGGGAAAAAGAGCAATTAATGGGGGAGAGGGAGCAAAAGAATGTGCTAATAAAGAGGCTGTCGACTCCAACCCAAAAGCCGCCAGTTTACACCTTTAAAACAATGACATGAATATTTAAAGATAACGGTTAACCCTTTCTTTTCCCAGCCACGTTTAAATTTCTTTAAAAGGGATGGCAAAGCGTGCTGCACAACTCGGGGAGCACAGTAAGTGGCGGTGGGAGAGGGTGCAGCCTCGGCTCGATACCTACCTACCCAAAGCCCCTAAGCCCAGGACATCAACAATGGAGGGGACACTGCGACGTGGGCGCAGCGACCAGTCGCTCGCCATGAAGCACACATCGAAGTCGGCAGAGTATGGGGCACGGAACGCCGGGGCACCTTAAAGCTTTGGCTGCCGCCTTTAAAGGCCAATCGGGCCTGGGCTCTTTGTGCGGCGCCGAGGGCTGGCCGAGGCCTGGGGAGGCAGCGCGGCGCCACTGGATGGGCCATGCCCGATCGCCCGCGTGTCCTCCCAAGCTGTGGCGGCGGGAACCGCGCGCGGCCCAGAGGCCGCAGCGGGGCGAGCGCGGCAGGACCCTGGCCCTCTGGTCGGCCCGGCCACAGCACCCGGTCGTTGGCCCCGGGTCGGAGGGCGCACGCGGCGGGGGGGGATGGCGGGAAGGCGCTGGGCCAAAGTGAACCGCCTGGGTTCTCCGCCACACGCGCGCTGGCCGCCGCCGCGCAAAAATGTCGGCGGGCGAAAAAATTAACCCCTCCGTCGCCGCCGCCGCCCTCCCCCTCCACTCCTCCCCCGCCCTCTCTCCCTCCCTCCTTCCCCGGCCCCGCGCGGCGGTGGCGGCGGCGCGGGCGGTGCTTCTTTTTTAAAGCGGCCCCACCAAGCCCTGGCTCGGCCCCTCTGCAGGCAGTGCTGGTGCGCGCTGGCCGTGCGCAGCTCTCGGCAGCCCGGGCGGCCGGGAGGGGGATCCGCACGGCCGCCCGGGGCCTGCGGACGAATATTCCCCTTTAAGCCTGGTGTCGCGCCCCCCCTCCCCGAGCCGGGCGCTTACCGGTTCGCTTTGCGCCCTCCGCCTCCTCCGGAAAACGGGCCGCCGCCGCTCCCACAATGCACCGGGCGCGCTGGGCTCCCTTAAGCGTCGCCTGAATAAAAATGCCGCTCCCGGCGGCGCGGAGGGCGGGAGGGCCCGGGCCACGCTGGGCGCCGCGGGAGCTTTGCCCAGCTCCGCAGGCCCCTGCCGGGAAGGGGCCGCCGCGCTCCGCCGTTCGCCGCGCCAGGGGGCCTTTAAGGGCCCTCTATACCTCCCTTTAAGAGGCGGCGGGCCTCGGCCCCAGCGTCTTGGTGGCTGCGTGCGGCCCGGGAAAGGGGCGGGGGCGCTGTGCAGGCCCGAGCGCGGCAATGATTGGTCTCGGGGGAGGGGTGGGGGGTTGCAGAGCCGAGGAGCCCGGTGGCATCCGTTGCCTGATGCAAAAAGGATTTATTTCAAAAGTTGCGAGTTCCATTGGCAGCAACCCTTGGCGCCCAGACCACCTACTTTTCCTAGACCTGTTGGAATGGCCAGGAATGTTTTCCAAAACCTGTCAGGTCTCAACACTTTACGCTGTGGGACGCTGGACCTGCTCCCCGTGCGCACAAGTCTGTCGTGCTGGAACACAACGACCCTGGAAACAATTTTTTTTTTAAAGAGTGGGAATGGAGGAAAAGGCGCCTTTGCTAAGACGAAGGGCTCGAAATCACAAACGACAATTCTGACGAATAACGACTTAACCGGCTCTCTAAACAATAATGTTTAGCCTGGCTCAGGAGCCCTTAGTGAATGTGCAAGGGTCCTGCAAAGTTTCTTGCAGGTTTAATGTGCGTGGTAGAAGTCAGAACTTACGGTTCCTCTGCAATTACGTTGTTTACTTCACAAATCCAAGTGAACATGACAACCTAATTACATGTTTGAATTGACAACGATAGGCGCGCTTTATTCACCTTGTGAAGTTAACCTTTTTTTCCCCCCAGGTTTTCATCTTTCTAATGTATTGCTGGCTCAAACGAAGAACAATGGTTTCATAACTTTAAGGGATTCCCTTAAAACCAAGGAGTGTGGAGGACCAAACTTCTAGAATGGTTCAGCATTTTCCGAAAGTATTTTGGGGCAGGAATGCTTAGAGTAACAGAAAGGTGTTTTATATTGCAGGTCATGGTTATGCATATGCCCTTGTCATTCTTAAAATTTCTGTTTGAACAATCGCCCAGGGTGTTCGTCTAGGCAAGGATTCAGAAGTAGTGCAACCTGGAAGACCAGCTGATGTAGGTTCCTCTCTTTTGTGTCTTTTCTCTGTTCCCCTACAGTATGGTAGCAAAGAACGTGGGTAGCCTGGGTTCTTTGATGTGATTTGTTGGGTTTCTGTACCAATGGCACATAACCCTATGGCCGACAAACCTGGATTTGCCTCCGAATCCCCCATGAAGTCTCAGATATACACGATCCCCAGGAAACACTCCAGATAACCAGAATCAAGGCAGGAGAAAATGGATCGTTTTCTTCCATTGATCCTCTTCCTTTTAAAACTGGTTTTGTGAGATATTGTGGGTTTTGGGTTTTGTTTGGTTTTTTTTTTTAGCAAAAATGTCACAACTAGAAAAAAAGGAATTTGGGGATTAGGGAAGGTGATGCAACAGAGGTGATTAGGGCCTTATGAGAAGATGTGCGAGTCATGCTCAGTAGTTCGGTTTTTATGCCACAGTCAGTAGACATGTTCTTTTACGGGTTTAGTTTGTAAACAGGCTGCAGCACATCTGGAAGGATGAGCTCTACCAAAGGATACCTCCTGTGATGAGGAGGTAATTGTATTAGTCAAGCACGGAGGCCAGGCTGTTTAAAGTGAAGCTGCTGGGATGCAGAAGAAGGACGGGATTCCATGTGTGGATGGAGGAGGAAGCGTAAAATGACCCTCAGGTTTCTAGTTTGGGGGAACTCGATGGTTAGTGATGCTACTAATTGAGATAGAAACGTGTTTTGGTGTGAGTTTAGCTTTAGAAATGTTAAATTGCAGGTGCCTGCCAGATAATCTAGGCAGAAGGCGATTGGTAAAATAAGGTCTGGCTCTTGGGGTGGGCTTTGCATTTGAGATGCAAATGTAGGTGCATCAGCATGTAAATGATGTTTTCTGCCTCGAAAAAGGTGAGATTAACCAGGAGTGGGAGTTAGGGAAAAAGTGAGAGACCTTGGACAGAGCCCAGTGGAGTTTTTAAATGGAATAGCTGGATGAGCCGGAAGCTGATCCCTGATGAGTCTGGGAGGCTAGCTAGCAATCTCAGAACGTGTTCATTACTCTCCCAGCTCCCTGGTTGTAGCTCTCAGCAGCCCCAGAAAAACCAAGTCAAATTCTGCTGAGTAGAGGCTGTAGACTGATAACTAAGCCACAGATGCCTTCCTTCATGTCAAGCCAGTCCTCAATCTTGGGATCAGGTAATATACCAGATCTCTCCTCCCTCCTTTCCTTTGTCCTAAATGCAAGCTCCTCTTTATCATTGCCCCAGTCAGCCTTCATTATTCTCCCCAAAGTCTACACCACACTTTACTGTCCTCAGTAGCAAATGCATTTCAAGAAGAAAATAGATGCCCTCAGAGGAAGTCCTCCAGCATTCCCACCCTAGCCCTATGACCATCAGGGCAAGTGTAACAAGGGAAAGACCACCTCCATCTGTTTAATTCTGGCCCCTGCTATGTTCCACCTGTCACCCCTCCGATAAAAGCTAACTCTTCTTGTATATTCACAATATATTATGTATTTTCCTTCCGTGGTGGAGGGAACTAGAGCTTAGACTGATTGAGTTACTTACCCAAGGTTACCGTCTTACTTTGGGTCTATCCAAGACAGATCTTGAAATGAGCACCTGGGAGGAGGGTATTTATTTGGGAGGTGATCTTAGGAAGCACAAGTCAAGAAGTGGACAAAAGGAGACAGGGAGAGAGAAGGCCAGACAGAATGTAAATGAGTGGGTTTCCACTATGGGCAGGCAGCAAGGCTCAGTTGGCACCTCTGAGAAACGTACGGAACCCCTTCTGATGGGCAGAATAATGCCACCATACTCCACAGAGATGTCTATGTCCCCATCCTGGGAACCTGGGAACATGTTACGTTACAAGGTAAAGAGGAATTCAGGTTGTAGATGGAATTAAATTTGCTAATTATTTAATTGAATGACTATCCTGGAATATCTGGAAAGGCCCAATGTAATCACAAGAGTACTTAACAGTGGGAGGTAGTGTCAAAAGAAAACCAGAGCGATGGTAGCCTGAAAGGATTCAGCCCAGTGTTGCTGGCTATGAAGAGGGAGTGAAAACAGGAGACTTCTAGAAGCCGGAAAAGGTAAGAAAATGAGATTTTCCTCTAGAGCTTCCCGAAAGGAACGCACCCTGCTGACACCTTGATCTTAGCTGAGTGAGATAACATGTCAGACTTCAAATCCACAAAACTGTCAAATCATAAATGTGTGTTGTTTCAAACCACAGAGTTTGTGGTAATTTGTCACAACAGCAATGGAAAACAGACATTCTTAAAGTTGTGCCCCTGGGAGGGAGGTGGAGGTGTTTTATCTGCTGACTCTCATCCTCCAGTGGCTGAGGGTTCCCCCAGGCGAGGTGAGTCTTCTGTACCTGTCTTTCACTGGACTGGGGAGGCTCAGACTTTCTAGCCAAAAGAGGCAGCCCTGAGCACCAGGCAGGCAGGTGCCTAGGTGGGGTCCTGTCAGTTGGCCGGAAACTTTCCAAAGCTTGGGGTGAACTCCAAAGTGGGCCAGACCGCTGTAGTGCCCACAGCCTCTGTCACAGCACTCAGCTGTAAGTCAAGCCAGGATTTAAACTGGCCTAAGTCTACCTGGAGCCCAAATGTCTGCACAGAGGACCTCCCTGCAGCATTTGAGACCACTAAGAGTCCTTTTTCAAATTCTCTGGGTTTGATGTTAGGTCTTCTCTCATCCTCCCTCTAACCTTTTTGGCTGCTTCATCTTTTTTGAAATGTTCTCTTTCACTGTCTTTCACTCCCACTTACCCACCTCAGCACTGATGTTCATTAGGTTTGTCTTTAACTTTCTCACGTTCTTCCTACGTTATATGTTGCACAGGGCTTCTGTAGCCATGCTGTCCAATAAATACGGTAGCTGCTTCCCATGGGGAGCTATCGAGTGCTTAGAATGCCTGAACTGAGATGTACTCTCAGTCAAAAAAAAATGCACTGGATTTTGGACACTTAAAAAAAGAGAAAGCGAACCAGTTCAATAATTTTTGCATTGATTCATCTTGAAATACAGTATTTTAGAAATGTTGGGTTATATAGAATACATTATTGCTTTTATCTGTGTCTTTTCACTTTTAACATGGCCACTTGAACGTGTTCAGTCACCTAGGTGACTCACTGTGTGTTTCTGCCAGGCAGAAACACCCTGCTGTAGAGGTGTTCCAGGACCAGACTAAAGCACTCAAGCACTTACATGGGTGTTCCACAAACATTCCTAATTCAGCCTGCTCCAGACCCAAATAATCATTCTCCTTCCAACACTGCCCCGCACCCCTCACTGCAACCCCCAGGTCGACATCTCTT